TCTACAGTCGTTCTTACGAATTATTTTACTTAATATGGGGTAATTATAACACAATTACGGAACAAAAATTTATAAAATCCCTTGAATACACAAGATAAATAACGGATTCAGTCTATTTTAAAGAATATTTAATCAACAGGGTGCTAATGCTTTTATTACTCTGATTATTGAAAAATTGTGAACAGTTATTAGATTTTTTAAATGGTTCTCAAAAAAATTGTCTGTGGAAATTAAATGCAGAATCTTTTTCGTCAAAACCATTTCCAAACCTTTATCCAACGTATTCAAGAATATTCCAGCTTCCAGTACAAACCTGACGAGAATTTTATAGAACCCCCAAAAGTCAAAACCTTAGATTATTATTTCAAGATTAAAGACTGTACAATATATGTAGTTTTCCATACCATATATTTATTCTATAGAGAAACATCGTATTATTATACAAAATATACTGCAATAACATATTTTTCTTCTTGAACCATCACATAAGGTAAGAGAATGTACATACTTCTTCAATGTACGTTACCTCGATACTTGTAGTTTTAATACCATAATGAAAGATATTTCGTAAACTATTGTACTTATATGATGTCGATATTTTTTTTTTTTTTTTTTTTTTATGTGAAAGGTGGCAAACGAGCAGACGGCCCACTTGATGGAAGGTGGTTACCGTCGCCCATGGACATCCGCAACATTTTGTTGCGGATGCATTGCCAACCTTGTTTTTTGGGGGTAGGGAGGGGTGGGAATAAGGAAATGAAAGGAAAGGGTAGGAATAGGGAAAGGGCAACCGGCTCTCTCACTCATCAGACGAAACGCAGCCAGTAAAGGCTACTTCACGCCGATCTTCTGTGAGAGGGTGGTACTTCCCCGGTCGAGCCAGCCCATGTTCGAGCTGTAGCAACCCACCACAGCTGGGCTCTACCACCTAGAAAATTTTTATTTAATATGATTTAGTGTTATATATGATAGAATAATCGTAATTACTTGTTTGAACACGACTTTTACTATACGGAGAAATTGGTTTTTAAAAGGCTTGTTGAAAGTCGTTTCAATAGTAACATTGTTGAAGTTTTTTTTTGTTACAAAAGAAGAAGTTACAATGTGTAATTCACAACGATACCGCGATTTCCATATAAAACATTCATTGTTTCATTATATTTATCAACACTGCTAGAATGTTTTAATTCAATTTGTACATCAAATAAAGTATTAATATCACAAACAGTTGTTCAGACCACGAACAGTAGTCCTTTCTGTCACACATTCTTACTAACTTAATTTTATCATGAGGACACTTTTTCAGGTAAATGTTGCGATTTATATATCTATCCAGTACTCCACAGGGACCATTACCTTTTATTATTTTACAGTTTATTTAACTTATTTAAACAAGAAAATTAATTAACTTTGATCCTCAGATTAGTTTGCAGTCAGCCCAAATACTAGTTCTTGAATAACAATTTTAATAAAGGGTTTTAAAACAACATACAGTGTTAAGAACTCCACTACTGTTAAGCCGATATAAAATTATTATTATTATATTCATGGTGACATACCTAATTGTATATATGTATATTGCCCCATTCTCATCTGCAGTGCCTTTATATCATTTCACTTAAATTGTTTCTAGAAAAAATTACTAAAGAAACCTTTTTTATTTCTGTTTTTTTTTATTCCCTTGAATTCCTTCTATTATAAATGTGTAATATTCAATAACGGTTATTGAAAAAAAATAATCAACCACTTATACCAACACTATCGGTTTCGTTTCAATACTTAATTAAAGGTAAATCTATATTTCAGTAGAAATCTCATTTTAAGTTTCTTAGATTGTGTGATGAAACTTTAGAAGTAGATATAATAGCTTCTTATCCAGACATTCAAACTTTTATTGTTGTTATATATTATGAAGACATAACCTTGTAATTCTAGCGAATGATATGTATGTTATGAATATTAACATTCGTGACATAAGTAAACTTTTAATGAACTTATCCGTCGTGTTTGAATTGACATACTCATTAGGCTTGCTTATTGCCAAAATTACAGAAATTAAAGTGGTATTGAGATAATTACTCCGTGTACAAGAGACGGATTACTTATGAGTTCCAGTTCTATATACTCTGAAAATTTGTATTACAATTGCGAAGGATAAAATATATTTTGTTCAACGTAGTATATTTTTTATTAATGGAAAACTAACGTTGTATATAAAGATAGTCTCGTAAACAGGTAAATAAGTTACAGAACAGTTTTCACTGTAATTTACATTTGTAGTGTATGAACAGTGAACACCAAATAATCTATTTAAGGTGTTAAATACTTATATTGCAGATATTAAGATTAACATCAATCAAAAAGGGTCAAACATATGTAAATGTCAAGGTTTTAAAAAAAAATAAAAATAAAAAGGTTATTAATACATGTACCTTTTATTTTTAGGATTGTTCTGTAAAGTACAAATAGAATTTGAATACATTGAATATTTCAATGTTATTTTATGAATCATTATAATTACTACAAGATATTACGAGAAAATGGTTTTTGTTATAATTGGTTCTACATAATGGGACGTAAAAGTCTATTTAAGACGTGATGTCGGACGAGGGCAATTTGGTAGAATTGTCAGTAGGTATTATTAATCAATGAAGTTGTTTAATATTTGTATAAAAATATTACATCTTTATGATCTCCCTATTTTTAATGAATCATTGCATAGCTTCTTGAATTTATTTATGCCAAACTTGTATACAAATGAAATTATTATAATAAACTGAAAAATAATTCAAAGGTAAATTATTCACAGCGTCGATATATAATTCCAAAAATACACTGAAAAGTGAAGCAAACATATCTGTAACAGATTGGCAATTGGAAAGTGAACGCTCGTATAAAATTATTCTATCCGGTGCATCATAAATTCCTTACTTCTATTTAATGAGACTTCAACATTATTTATTATATGTTAAGAATTACAGAAGTAATTATTGTAATAACGAGCCCCGAAATATTATGTTTGACTTTTTAGCTCAGAAAAGATAAGAAAAAAGAGAACTACCATAATCACAATATAACTCACAGATGTTGGCATTGTAATAAGTATCATGAAATTTAATAAATGCGTTTTTTTTTTTAAATTATATATTTAAAGAAGGATGATGCGTTTCCTTAGGAAAAGATGTGAGGTGAGATTCTTTCATTATTACAATGAATATTAGCAATAATTATATCCAAAAGTGTGTAATTACTACTATGCACATAATCTTTAGAAACCATCAAGTAAAATTTTTGAAAGTATACATTTACATAATAATTACATTATTTTTTTAAAGATTTTTATTTAATTGGTGTTAATCATAACGCAATGACTAAAATGCATCTCTTATATAATAGTGTCATTTTGTAATTTTCATTTGTATTATTTAAACTTAAGTCGGATACAAAATAAAAAACAGAGACTTATATTTTGACGACTATAATAACAAAAAAAAATTTGACGAATAAAATGCACGGATCCCATTATACTCTTTTAAGTAATATCTGCATACGGAAAATGTGAATACTCATTTAAAATGTTTTATATCAACTGAAAAACATTTCCCCTTTTTTACTGCTATGAGGGTTCCACCGCCCATACCAACGTTATGTTGTTTATAGTTGCGATCATTACGTTAAATAAAAGTTCTTCGTCAAAAATAAAACAGGTACAGACGGGTCTCACTAAAATAAAATATGTCGTGATCAGATTTCAGTAACTGAGTATAGAATTGTTTCATTCTGCTTGTTAAAGCCTTAAAGTTTTATGAATAATTGATAAAATAAAACAATAGTCTTAATATGTATCAAAAATTATTATACAATATATGTTGATTATATAACAAATAAGATAAGGTACAGTACAGAAACTACGAGTACATTAACCATGTTGAAATTATATTGTATGAAGTAAATGTGTTCAAATTATTCATTATGTAATTACTTAGATTAAAAATAAAATTGTTACAAAATCCAAATAAAATATTAACTACTAATTTATAAATAAAATAAAACAGTTTTATATATTTCACATGTAAAATTGTATTTAAACTATTCTAAGAAATAATGTGTATGATAACTGAATTATCCTACTTACGAACCTTAGTCGTGTTCTTACGAACCTAGCAGTAATTTAATTTTTTACATACGTTTAGATTTTTTCGAATGATTTGTCATGAGAAGTTGAGTGGTTATAATATATGTCTGATATTGTCTGATGTCTGATATTGTTAAGCTTTTTAGTTTCTAAATGATAATAAGAAGTCGTATTTGTATATCGAGCTTGAATTTCGTTGATGATAGGTCCATTTTCAGCTACATTATGATTTATGGCAATTCTACTTACAAAATTAAGAGAATATGCACGTTCAATAAAAACCATTAAATAAATATGCGAAACAAAGCTACTTTATTCCCAATAAATAATTTATTTTGCGATAATGATAAAATTTTATTTTTATAACTTACAATAAATATACAAGAGTGTCTATCTTCCTACACAGAAAGTTTGGACAAAGAAGGCGGATGGTGTCACTAAACTTGGGACTTTGCGCCTGTCTTCATACTTTGCTTATACTCGTAACAAACTTTGCCGTTGTAAAAATCAATTCGTATCACATTTGAGAAATATTGTCTCTTATGAGATTTGTGTAAAATAAGATAAATGTATAACATAAGTAAAAATTAAGAACAAAAAATACATCTAAGTTACATTATTACATATTATTAGTTTTAAATTTTATTAAAATTACTATAAGGGTAAATAAAAATAAAATAGAAAGTATTAGAATAAAATTATGTTGTAATAGTTACTGGAAATATACAAAACATATCACAATAAAGGAGACAGTAGATATTTGTAGTTGATAAGGGTTCTTCACGTCATGTCTATACAAATATTATATGGTTCAGAACACTTATTAACAAACTAAATGTATTTCTAACTGCATTTCACAATCAAAATGGTATTGATAAAGGAAGAAGAACCTTTAAAACAAGAAAAGAAAAAAGAAAATAAGAAAACTTTGAGGGAAAACATTGCTTACATTCGAGAAAATATCACCTTGGAACCAGTTCTTATAACTTTTGTTATACCAGGAGTTCTCGCTCGTCTCGCAACTCAAAATTTAAATCTCGACAAGGCCTGTCGAGTAAATCTAAAATTTGGTGATAAAATATGTGATGCTCTTATAGCTAAAAAGGGATCAACCTATCATAATGAAGAGTTAAAAATTCAAGAATTAATAGCTTCGATGGAAGTATGGAAAAATGTAATATTAACAGCCATACCCAGTATTCTCATTCTCTTCATCGGTGCCTGGAGTGATCAGACTGGAAACCGAAAATTATGTATACTATTACCTATATTCGGAGATTTTCTAATGTGTCTCAGTAATATATTAAACGTTTATTACTTTTATGAACTTCCACTTGAAGTAACAATGTTTTTAGAAGCTATATTCCCAGCGATGTGTGGGGGATGGATAGCGACGTATACAGGAACATTCAGTTATATTGGTGAAACATCAAGTGAGGATAATAGAACATTTAGAGTCGGTATAGCAAATCTTTGCTTAACCGTTGGCGGACCACTTGGGAGTGTTCTTGCTGGAATATTACTGAATTATCTTGGCTACTATGGCGTTTTTTCCATCACTTCACTGTTATACTGTTTTAGTATATGTTACGGCATTTACTATATTAAAAATCCTAAAAGACCTACACCCAATAAACAGGTATTATATGTGAAAAAATGTGTAAAAAAATAAATTCTATTTAGTTCTTCTGATTATATATACTGGTTTCCTGTTGTAGGTTGAAAGTGTCGGATTTTTCAAGTCATTTTTTGATATAAAACATGTGAAAGATACGTTCAAAGTTGCTTTCAAAAAAGGACCAAACAACCGCAGAATGAAATCTATTTTGGTTTTGGCTTGTGTCGTATTTATCTACGGTCCCGCGTATGGTAAGTTAATTTATTATTAAGCTATAATCAATGAAAAATCTCAATTACTAAGATTATAGCAGTACGGACACGATCATAAACTTACATATAGTCTTCAGATAGATATCTGTCCAGGCTGCATTGCCCTATGCTCTCTTTGCTACAAAGTAATATCAACAAATTAATGATATTTTTATTCACTTTATTTCAACAGGAGAACACACAGTGCGATATCTTTTTGGGAGATACCGCTTCAACTGGGATATAGTGAAATACAGTTTCTACAATACCTTCTACATTTGTTTACACCTGCTTGGTATGTTCATTGATGATATTCAATATACTTGAACCTATCTTTGAACTTTATATTATAAACTTAATATCCAGAATTTTCTGTGTTTGAAAAGTGTAACAAAAAGACCATTGCTTAAAAATAAGTGAAATTAAAATATCTATTTTATAAACAACAATTATATAAAAAAAACATAATGGAAATCCTCTTTAGTACATATAAAATATCAGATTTGATGATTTTTTCATTTAATTTCAAAATATAAAATATAGTCATTGAACACTAAAATACTATACTAATGTTTGCTTAATATTGTCCGTCATATTTAATACAATCAATGTAAGATCTGTTTGTCTCTTGAGACGATTTTCTAGAAATATTATAGCAACTAGTAAAACATGATCTTAGTAAAAATCTTTCATGTAATAATAGATATTGTACATGATTTTTACTGTTTAAAACAAGCAATATGAAATAACTGCTGTTCATGGAAAAGTGTTGATGTTGTTCCTAGTGTATTTTTGCCCCATTAAAAATGTATTTAATAAAAAGAAAGAAATTATCAGATATCAATGGCTAGGATGGGGCATTTAGAGCTTCTTGCACTCATCACACAAATTGCGACTGTAATAGTTACTTAACAGCCGATCTACAACATTTATGTCTTACAGAGTGGCACTTTATATTTTTTGCTTCATCTAAGAATTAAGTGTATAGCCATTTATTCAATTTGGAAGCGTTGACTTAAAAGCACATTTGTAGAGAAAAATTCGCAATTCTTTTTACAATCGAAAAGAACTAATAAAAAGTATATATTTCTAGGTGCCACTATATCAATAACGTTTCTGAGCAAAAAACTTAAATGGCAAGACGCTACTTTGGGAATATTATCTAATGTAAGTAAAATAGTAGGATGCATCAGTACTGGATTATCAAGAACCACTCTGGAAATATACCTTGGTAAGAATTAATATCTAGACATAATATAGAAGCATTACTTTTCCTTGTCTAATTTATTTTCTACGGGTAACACTTACTGGTAATAATAGTATTCCTAAAAATTCTTATGTTTCAGCTGTCGTACTAGAAATGTTCAACGCAACTCCGTTTACTGCTCTTAGGTCTATATCTTCCAAACTGGCTACCAGTGATGAACTAGGTATGTCATGCTTTTACTGAATTATCCATGAAAAATACCCCATGTTGAATGTATTCTATACGGGAAATCAATCAATAATAATCAAGCTTTAACACTGCAAGAGACTCGACTTTTATATATTATTTAGTTTTTAACATTTATGCTATCATTGTATTTGTTTTTCAATCAATTATATTAGTTGAGACAAGTAATTAGATCTTTTGTACCGGAAAAATCAAATAGATTCCATTAAAGTGAAAATCACGCAATTGCATAGTAGTACCTGTTAAGAAATAAAATTATAAATGACTCGCTGGGTATGGATATCATTCGTGAAGAAAGTTAATCAACCTTCTTGTCACCAGAAGATATGATGAGTAACGTTGTATTATGAGCATTTCATATGTTATTTATTTTCGCTTCGCGTTTGCGGATTAAACTTTTTTATTTCAATTTACCTTATTAAAGTATCATAAGAAGATTATAACAGTTGGTACTTGTAGTGCCTGTTATATTTTATATTCTTCTGACTTTTGATAACATTGCTTTTATTTTATTTCAGGAGTTTTAATTAATTAATAGACCTCAGTGGATCTAAATTAATATATCAATTAAGTTAAGATCCACAATCATTTTAATGAATGATATATAATCTTTGTAATAGTTGAAATTATTCCAAAAGAAAAATTAAACTAAACTCATTTATAACTTTGAAAAATAATAATTTCCATACGATAAACATTTAGAAATAATGAAACTATTAATTACATTTATCTGTGACATCTTTATATTGGGATTTTATTTCTTTACGTAACTACCTTATCTAACATAATTTCAATGTAATTATATATTTTGTTAAATTGATTTTATATACAAGAATTACTATTAGTAAATTATAAAAATATTATAACTTTATAATTTTCAAATAGTATTTATCTTAAAAATGTTTTTGTTTAGGAAAAATGACAGCAATATTTAATTTAACCGAAGTTGTTACTTCAATGGTTTTCGGGCCAACGTTTTCTTGGATTTACATGGTAACTTTGAAATACGAGTCTGGATTTATTTACTATTTAAGTGCTGTAGTGACTGTACCGTCACTTTTGATTTTTATGTGAGTATTCATATGATATTAACTTTTTGCGGCACCATCTGTTTGATATCTTTTAAACTACTATCGAACTAGATTTCATTCAGATCAGACGAGCGAGAAAGGTCGTTGGTTGACAAGCAGATCCTTTTTTACTCTTCTAATTTTTAAGCCAACAGAATGTAGTAAAAAATATAAGTAATATATATAGAAAATTGATGTATTAATAGAAGAAGATCGTAAATATCAAATTAACATAAATATCTTAAATGTCTTTCTTCCCATAGTCTAGGAATGACCATTCTCAATTGTCTCATCATATAATAATTAAAAGTGTTGAATATAACTATTTTTATCAGAATAGCTTATTAAATTTTATTTTATTTCTCGCTCTAGCCATTCGACGTATAATTGTGTTATGTATAAGACAGTAGGCCGCTCTGCGGCCAACTTGCTATATTTGAATTAACTATCACATTGTTCATTCCTTATTTTCTATAAGAATTTTTACTATCTACTCATCTTCGTAATAAAATATATTTATAATAAAATATTTCCAGGTGGTTCTATAGACAACACAAAATTGATGAAAAGGAACAAAAAATAGAAAGTGTGAACATCGAAAACGGTCATGAAAAAGATAAACAACCAAAAGACCAGTCGTTAGTTAACAGTGTCGAGCCGAACGATTGCTCTTTATAGAATTAGACCACAGTTTGACGAAAAATACAGTTAGTTCCAAACAAAGGAGTGTACAGACTGCTGTAATCGAGATGTGCAGACCGTTGGAAATCTACCTGAAATGTTCCTGAAACGTTTTTAAAAGAACTTTTTCGTTTATCCAAAATTCAACTATCTTACCTATTTATGAATAAACAATTTTCCTGAAGTATAATGACTGTGAATAAAATATCATTACTTTATATCGTTAAAATATTTTATACATTAATGTATATATGTATAATTAAGTAATATATATGTATGTATATGTTTATATGTATATATATGTATGTGTATGTGAGAAAATATTTTCATCATTAAAGTTGTTAAAGAACCTTTAAGTAGTTTTTTGCTAAAATAAATTATATATCAAATATAAAATTAGTTTTTAATTATGATTAGCATTCACTAAAACTAAAGACACATTCGTGTTTCGATCAGCGATCTCTTGATAATATAAGAGGCTACAAAAACAGAGAATGATATAATCATTTCATAATATACTTACATACATTCAAAGGAATAATCACATTTTGTCTTTTCTTTATCAGCTCATGGTCGATATAATGGCAAACAATCGCTCAGTGTAAATATTAATTAGTTTAATGTTAATATAATGATAAATAGCATTCACAGCGCGTTCTATTTAATTATAACGATATTGTATTTGGAATTACTAACTTGTAGGGTTTTATTCCATTGAGATTTAATTTTCTCATAGGCTTTGACTGCTAATGTTTGTTATTGTTGATATCTATGAACTAATTAATTATTTTAATACAAATACATGATATTGGCTAAATTGATTCCGAAATGGACATTAATTGAAATTTAATTATATTTTGTTTTAATTGTTATTGATAAAATGTTAATGATGTGAGATGTACTGAACCATAATATTTTTATTCACATTAACAAATACCTTTAGATAAGTTTTTTCAATATTATTTTTAAAACTTTTCAAAAAAATAAAAAATATATATCTCAGTGTCAGCAATAAATATTGTGAATGCTTATATAAGAATACATCATTGATGCAAAAACTTTTATTTAGAAAGACGACAAAGAAAAGATAAGTGATGGACTACGTCAGACAAATTTTAATTACGTCTAGTTTACAAGAGACTTCCACAGAGTTAAGTGATCATGTCCTCCGATACGGGTAAAGCGTTACCCGAAGAAGAACCGCTAAAGGATAAAGAAAATAAACCAAACGATTTTGAAAGTAAAGGCTTTTTTGAAAAGCTCGCCTACTTAAAATCCAATGTCACCGTTGAACCAATATTTGCTGGTATCGTTATACCATCAATGCTGGCCAGGCTAGCAATACAAAATTTAAACATGGATAAGACTTGTCGATTGAAACTTAATTTTGGTGACGAAATCTGCGATGCTTTGCTCGAGAGAAAGGGAAATCTTACTTACTATGAAGGCGAAGTACAAAAAGTTATATCGTCAATAGAAACTTGGAAAAGTGTCATCCAGACAGCCTTGCCAACAATTCTGGTAATATTTATGGGAGCATGGAGTGACAGAACTGGTAACAGAAAATTATGTATACTTTTACCTATAGTCGGAGAATTTCTGGTGTGCATAAGCAATATATTAAGCGTAGTATTTTTCAATCACATTTCTGTTGAGGTAACAATGTTCTTGGAAGCTATTTTCCCAGCCATTACAGGAGGATGGGTTATGGTATTTTTGGGAGTTTTCAGTTATGTGGGTGACATAACAGACGAGAAAACGAGAACATTTCGTGTTGGTCTCGTTAATTTATGCTTAACAGCAGGGATCCCAATTGGTGTATCTTTAAGTGGAATTCTATTAAAATTATGGGGTTACTATGGTATATTTGCCACATCAGGCATCATTTATCTCACAACATTTACTTATGGATACATCTATTTAGAGAAACAAACAAAACCAGGAATTGATAAATCTGAAAAGGTAAGTGTACTGATAGATATCATTTAAACACAACGAATATTCCGTATCACCTTATTTTATTCAAAAAGAAGAATTTGATATATGTATTCAACTTACTTATAAAATTAAAGTTAACACGCTTATATTTGGTTTCGTTTAGGCAAAACCTGTTACATTTAAGGACATAGTCGCTTTAATAAAAGAAACTGTATTGTGTGCCTTCAAAAAAAGGGATGGAAACTTACGAATGAAAGTGATTCTAACACTTCTTGCTGTTGCTATTATTTATGGACCAGATCATGGTAAGTTTAGTTGAATCTTAAAAAAAAAATTTAGTTTTAGTAAATACTTCAAAATGAACCTGAATTATATATTTCTTATTTAAGTGATGTTAAGCTGGAAATATTAAAGAAAAATGTACAATATAATTAGATAATTATAATTAGATTAATTATAATTAGATTATTCAATCAAAATAAACATGTTAAATATTTTATGGTGTAATAGGGAGCAGCAAGAAAGTTATTTTGATTTTGTCTTTTTGCTTGTTTCTTTTTATTTTACATTATCAATTTTGAAACGAATTTCAATTAAAGGGAACGTAGTTTAGCCTTTTCTCACGATATAAACTTTCATACCAATTTAAAGTTTTGAAGTTCTACTGTATGCCGTCAAAAATGATACAAAATGAATAATTATTATTTATCATAATCATCCATAAAGTTAGATTTCATATTATAGTTCATTGGATATATTTAATTCAATGGATTTACTTCCATCCAACTATTCACTTGATGTTTATTTCACATTTTCAAATTACATCAAATTCTTACTTCATTCCCTTTTAAATAGTAGCAAAATAAATTAAGTTCATAAAATTCCTACTAAAATGTTATAATTTAAAAAACCACCGCCACCGCTTTTTATTAAATTCTGCATCATTCATGCAATATTTACTTTATTTCTTCGTGATGTTTCAAGTAAAGTCGACTTTCTAGCCAATGTAATAAGTTTTAAATTTAATCGACAGGTGAGAGGATAATCACTTACATGTTTGTGAGATATCGACTTAAATGGGACGCTTTGAAATTCAGTATGTACTCCACTTACAGTATTGTGGCACATTCCATAGGTGAGTTATGTAATATATGGATTTTATATTATTTTACCATATCAGATTATACACACACACATTTATGTACAGAAAATCTCATTCGTTCAAAGTCTAGTATGCAAGATTTAATCTTGTAAAAGTCCTTAAAGATCTTTATTGTGAATTGACCGTTTAAGGGATATATACGTATATTATCACCAATCATAACCTTCACTAAGTAAATGAAACCAACACATTGTATACTTATTTCGTAATAAAAACATTTTAATATCAACAAAAATAAGAGATATTAAATTTGTTATATATTATTAATATTTGTGCTGTACATTATCTTTATTCTGTTTGTTTTGATCGGTAGGAGCGTTATTCTCTATCAGCGTGTTCAGCAAACATTGGGGTTTCCACGACTCCATGCTTTGCCTCATCTCCGTAACGAGCAAACTCATCGGCTCTATATACATAGCCTTTGTCAAAACAGACTTCCAGATGTTTATGGGTAAAAAATATTTCAAACTATCTACCGTACTTCACTTTATAAACGATTGTCGTTATATGTTGTTCTTTAAATATTTAATTTGAATTATAAGTTATGTTTAAAGAATATCGTTTTAATGGAAAATCATATTTAATACATACGTTTTTCCAATTCCATTACTACGAATTCACTTTAGAAATATCGTTCAATATAATAAAATTGTTTTAAAACGAAAACAAATATCGCATTCTAGAAAACATTTTCTCTTATTTCTAGTCCCGATCGTTGAAATTCTAAACGCAACTACCTTCACGTCGCTTCGGTCAATGGCTTCTAAGTTGGTTGAGACTGAAGAAATGGGTAATTTTATATATATTTATTGACATTTTATGTTTAACTATAAACTGTTTAGAACTTTGTGTTACTTGAATACTATTACTTTTATATAGTTACCTACCTTATTAAATGCAAAGACTTTTGGACACTTAAATTACGAGATTATATTAAGTGAGAATAATTAAATAACTATAAGATGCTACATGATATCGAATAGCTTTTATCAAAAACAAATGGACTAAAAATAAGTAGTGTATTCAAATCAATCAAAAATTTACAAAACTAACCGCTTCGTAAAATCAGAATTATAGAGTTTCTATGTAATGATAATTGAATTAAGAGTTTTCACTTAATAAATATTTTAAGTAATTAGTTATATAATGAAATGAAATTTATGTTTATATATTTGCAGGTAGGATGAACTCCCTCTTCAGTTTGGTGGAGACATTGGCAGCTCTTGTTTTTGATCCTTCTTACACAACACTCTATTCAATGACAATATCCGCTTTCGCTGGCTCTGTGTACATCTTCAGCGCCTGTTTGACTATACCTGCAATAATCATATTAGTGTAAGTAGATATTCCATAACCATCGGAGTCATATTTAACCATGACATAATATTTATACTTAGAGACATTCAAAACAAACAAACGTTACAATAGATCCACTTTCAAAACATTGATCTCAATATGTAACAAATATATAAAAGGCTATCTTATGTTTATAAATACTTATCTTTTCCCAGATGGCTCTTCACACAATACCGTATAGAAACAAAAGTTAGACGGAAGCAAGAAACAACGCAGCTCAAACTTTGACAAACTGTTGACTATTCCCTCAGAGACTTCATTGTATATTTTATTTCATAAAATGAAGAGAATCATTTGTTTTGTTTATTGTATGAAGTGTAATGCAGTAATTAATATTATCATACATATGTGTTGCATTCAATGTCTGAGACTAGAAAAAACCGCACAAAAACAAAGCTTATTAAACTTGTTTTTTGTTATTAAGTTATAATAAAGCGTTAAGTCAAGAATCACAAATTATACTTTTAATAATTTTAATAAATTTAAATATTCATGTTGCATACATTAACTTACGTAATCTCGTTTTTGTTGAAATGTGCCTTCCGTTAATGAAAGGATAATTAATTAATTATTTCTTACCTATTAGTCATATGTTTTTTCTTTGGTTTATATATGTATTTCAGTTTTTTTTTATGTACAAAAGTTAAGTTAAATCAAATCCTTAATACACTACAATTCATGCTTCATTTTACAATACCCAAAATCTGTAAATTCGGTTTCCACCTTGAATAATTAAATTAAAAATAATGTAGGGAACAATATCATTGAATTATTTATTGAAACTTTGTCACAATATTTAAATATGACATGCTTTTCGGATTCACTACGAGATTATATTAAATTTAACCCGACGTTTCGGTAACTTTTCAGCTACTGTGATCACGGGCAGACGAAGTGAAATATTGGCTTAAATGTAATACAATAAATCACGGAGTAAATTTGAAAATCATAGTTTTCTATAAATGGGAAACGAAAATCTTAGACATTATTATCGCGATATGATACCTACTTAATTTAGATTTTCTTACAGATTAATATCATTGAACTGTTTAAGACTGTGATCTGGGATTCTTATTGGATATTTCACTTGTCTTTGTATCTTCAATAAATATAGACAGTACGTTTTATACGTCTAAGTTCAGTTCAACACTCCTGGCCTTCATGTGTTCTACATTGAGACGTGCACAGTATATTCTGTCAATGTCACGTAGTATGTAGAAGACACGAAGAAGAGTGGTGGGTTTTATAATGTTATTTCAATGTCTTCAGTATTCACTGTTCCATACATATAAAAATGATACAATATAGACATGTCATTGTAAAATTTTACAAAACTTATTGGGACCTTATGTTTTCGTCATACAAATGTTTTATTTAATTATATGGCTTTTTTGTATTGATATAATTGCTCTGGGGAAAAAAGACAGAAGTTAAAAAACGCTTTGGGCTACGAGGGGTCTGTAAAATTAAAAAGATATTGCAATTTACTTACTTTATAAAAACTACACTTAAAGTGACATATTGCCTTTACACGAATATTTTAGAAATGTATAAGCAAAAAAATACAACTGTTTGTTTTATTACTCGAATGTTTTAATAATATTTTCCTCTTAAGGAACTTGAAACTGACACCTTTCGGCTACCAAGCGTCAATGCGATGATTCTAACAAAATGTCAAATACGACTGAGTAGTTTCTTTTGTAAAACCTACAGTTTATAATTATAGGCTTGAGTTGTAAAATGACTGACTTTTCACTATAAAGAAACATTAACTGGGCAATGGAACGATATATGCCAAAAAAATCTTAAGAATAATAAAATGTCTGTAAAAAAATGCTAAAGATAACAATTGAACTTAAATTATATCTGAACGGATCTGGAACTATTCATAGGAAAAGAAAATCAACAATGATGTATATATAATAATTGATCATTCAGCAAAAGAACTTTATGACTTCCCATTAAATAAAATCTTCTAGGATTATCAATTGGTCGATAGACTTAGTTTTTTAATAAATCTGTATTATTTTCTGAATGAAAGATTATAAAAAATTTAATTAAGAACACCAAATCTATTCCTTAAATTAGATTTATTAGGATAAATTACGTATATATATCGGGGTTATTTTAATCAAAAATTTATATTTTTAAGATACGAATTCTTATCAATTCATGTCTAAAATCAATATTTTTTCGGAGTTTATAATATGTAGTATTAGGCAACATATCATGTTTTATTTTTCATATTATAATTATAGGAATTAACAAATAATAAACATAACTGAAAACGTTTAATTATACAATTATATTACCGAAGGATTAAAAACAAAGTATTTTCCATAGAATACGAGAATTATTAGTTTGTTTTGGATTGGAAATTAAAAATAAGATAAACACTATCCACATCATTTTGTTTTTCGATGAATTAATTATTTGATTATTAATTAACTTTTTAACCAGTCTATTTGTTAATGTAGTGATTAATTTGTTTATGCGCTATTTTATTTGTATTTTTTATACAATTAGCGAACTATATAGATCAATAATTATGAGTTCTCCTGTAGCACCACTTCTGCAAAGAACATCTCTTTGCCAATAACAAATTGAAAGCAATACATATTCCAAAATTTCTGCCCCATATTGCCAACCTTGCTATTTACCTCACTAGTATATTAGAACTGCCCTGAAAAACCCTGAAAAAATATATATAATTAATAAATAGTAACCATAACAAGTCAGTGGTGGCCTAATGGTTAAAAGGCAGGCCTCTCATGAACAGGGCGCGGGTTCGATTCTGGCCCAGGCAAGTACCAATGTGATTTTTCCGAGTCATATGTACTTTCTAAGAGTATTTAGACATCACTGATTAATGCATTCCCAAAGAGGGTTGATGTCAGGCAGGCGGCCGGTCGTAAAAACAATTAGCCAAAACTATTCACAACATGTAAAGCAGACCCTGGCTAAAGCTAGGAACTTGCCAGGTAGAAGAAGAGTAACCATAATGAATAATTATAATAATTAAAAGTGAAAAAAGACCCTCAGGATTGAAGAAATTTGTCAATTACTAAATTGTTGCTTGTATACAGGTTCTTGAGCAATATTATCAAAAAACTATGTTGTCATTACATACATATATATTAAATGTGTACGAAAATTATTTTAACATACTTTTTATACACAACTGAATTGTTTACGCTTAATATAGCGTCAACAACCTCTCTGTGCTACAGAAAACATTTGGATACCATATTTATAAGAAAAAAATTGTGTTTTGTCTTCTTAATTTTGCATATCTATTATAATACTAATAGTTTGATTTAATTTAGAACTACAAATTAAATGATTTATTATTATGTTTACAAATTTTTCGACAAATCATATTTCTTTAAAAATAGATATTTTTTGAATAAGATTTACGTTTAACAAAGTTTTTTAAATGACTTATATGATTTATGCCAAAAACTACAAGACAGACGCTTTATTTAAGACTTTTAAGGACAGGATAGATGGTTGAAATTGGTTAAGTAAATAATTGGACACGTGAATCTTATAATAAGGACACAGTTGTTTTCCAATTATTGTCCTTATTTCATCCAATTTAAAACTCAGAATTGTTACTACTGTAACATGAATACATTGTCCACACCGTTCAAAGATCTACTTTATAGAACTTCCTGCTTAAGCAATATGGTTTAATTTTCATTACAATATAGCTTGATATATAGTCAATTCGAATAGTCAGTTTTATTTACTCGACCATTGCTCAGGCGAGCCTGACGCCTTGTGAAAAACTTAGTTGACTGAAATATTTGAGTGTTACGTGTAAACATGAATTGTATAGTATACTGTTTTTCCACAAATCTTTTAGTGTCATGATAACATATTTAATTATATAAGATAGTGTTTTCTATACAGGAACTAAATCAGGATCGAATAACCTCGATTGCTGTAAGCACAGGTGTAACTAAAACTATTATATGGTTAAGTATATTCATATGGATCTTTTTTAATGTCAAATAAGTTTCTTTAACATTAACTTCTAATTTCTAATAAGAAAAATATTTGGAGTTCTTGTTTCTTCTTATAATTGTAATTTTTCCTAACTATTGTTCTGTTACCGTGTTTTATTTCGACTGTTTTGGTTTTTTTTTTTTGAAAAATTGTGTACATTTTAATGTTTCCTGGGTAGAAATTATGAAGACAGTTTGGGTCATATTCGATGAAATGTAAAAATGCCTCTGAATTATTTTACTATTTACGTTATTTCTTTAAGAAATATACATATTATGCATTAGCTACATTTTTATGGACACTAAAGATTTTAAAGTGGACAGTTTTAATGTTACATAATCCATACAAACAATAATATAGAGATGACTTGCATTGAATATTGTGATAAAAATGATATGTCGCTTATTTTAAATGTATACCACATTTAACCTTGGTAATAACCCATAATAACTGAGAATTACCATATATTTTTGCACTTTGCACGTCTGGTGCAATAAACAAATTTTCAGAGTAACTCTACCGTAACACTTTAATGAATTGTTATAAAAATCATCATGAAACAGGATAGAACATAAACGCTGATTTCCGCGAAACATTTGTCAAATCATAAACATATGTAAAATTTGTTGTCAACTTTAATGTCCTGTCTATTCAAGTGTTGCTACTTTTCGCATAAACGCCCATGATTTAATTGTGTCATCTGATAACCATACAATGTAACATTGTTTGGGGGTAACAGGCTCCAATTCCATCTAGGAGCCCAAGCCAACCCTGCCTGCACGTGGCACCCCTGCTGGATAACGGAAAGGGCTCTGGCGATGCTTTTCCTCTGGTTAGTTTACTCTAGAGGTTCGGGAGTCAGACGGCAGTCGTCTCGGTAATAGGCAAACAAGCCAATAAAAAATGATAGGACAGGAAAGAGAACGCAACATGGCTAGGGCGTCGCCGTATAACGACGCGCAGGGGGATCGCCTTGCCCCTGCGACAAGTGGGCGAGGGCTACCGGGTGCCGCGCGAACCCGGCTAAAGAAGTTAGCGCCTGTTGCGAAGATCCGCTTTGCTAGCTGGAACATTGGCACGCTGACGGGACGCTCTACAGAGCTTGCGGCCACACTCGCCAGACGAAAAGTGGCGGTGGCGTTCTTGCAGGAGACACGGTGGAAGGCCAACAGAAGCCGTTACATAGGGCAAGGCTACAAGCTGATCTATACAGGCTCTCCTGGTGGGGAGAACGGTGTGGCGGTTGTGCTTTCCGAGCGCTACCATGACAGTGTCTTGGAAGTCAAGCGTATTTGCGATCGACTTATGGTGGTAAGGGTACTTATTGAGGGAGTAGTAACTCACCTCATAAGTGCCTACGCCCCACAGGCCGGATGCAGTGATGCGGATAAGGCACTGTTCTGGGAGCGTGTCGGTGACGTGCTAGCCGCCATACCGTTGTCTCATGGTATTGTTTTGGGTGGTGATTTGAATGGTCATGTGGGAGAGACGCACGAGGAGTATGGACGTGTTCATGGCGGATATGGTTACGGCCGAAGTAACGCGGAGGGAGAAACCATTCTCCGAACTTGCGTCGCCGCTGACCTGGCCGTAGTGAACACGTTTTTCAAAAAGAAACCTGAGCATCTTATCACCTACAGGAGCGGTCGAAGCGCCACTCAAATCGACTACCTTCTGACTAGGAGAAGCCTTGTCAGCCGCGTGGCCAACTGTAAGGTCATACCCGGAGAGTGTCTAACTGCCCAGCACCGACTCCTTGTTATGGATCTCTGCGTAAAGCCTCGCCGTAAACACGCTGAGCGTTGCCGCCGCCAAATCAAGTGGTGGCTGCTGGATCACACCAGGTTCTCGGAATTTGACTGTGCCACTGGGGACATAAGTCCGGATACAGAAGGCAAGTCCGTCGAAGAGTACTGGAATAAGCTTCAGACAACAATCACAAAAACGGCAAAGCAAATCCTCGGTGTGGCGAAAGGAGGCCGCAAAATTGACAAGGAGTCATGGTGGTGGAATGCCACAGTCCAGAGGATGTTACAGGAGAAGAAAGTGCTCTTTAAGAAGTGGCAAGCGTCTAAATCCCCTGAAGATCACGAGTCGTACAAGATTGCGAAAAGAGAGGCTAAGAAAGCTGTAGCCAGAGCCAGGCGAGAACACTTGCAACCACTATATGCGAAGTTGGACTCGCCTGAGGGGCATAAGCTCATTTATAAACTAGCACGCTCTAGGATCAGGGCAGCGCAGGATACAAGTCACTGCCGCTGTGTTACTGACGCTAACGGAACGCTCTTGTACGATGAGTGTGCAGTGAAGGAGAGATGGCGCTTTTATTTCCACGGATTACTGAACACTCAACACCAAGAGGTGCGACCACCAGCACCTCCTCCAAACCTAGGACTTGTGCCACCGATTACGTCTGGTGAAGTACTCGATTCTCTTCGTCGCATGAAAAATCGGAAAGCTGTCGGACCGGATGAGGTATCAATTGAAGCGTGGAAAGCGATGGGTGCTCGTGGTGTGTGCATCCTTACTAGCCTTTTTAACCTAATCCAGAACCACCGGAAAATGCCGAATCAGTGGAGGCTGAGTTTCATAACGCCGGTCTACAAGGGCAAAGGGTCTGCTCAGGATTGCGGTAACTATCGTGGTATAAAAGTGATGTCACACACCATGAAACTCTTCGAGCGCATAATTGATAACAGAATCCGGCAGGAGTGTACAGTGTCGGATTTCCAGTACGGTTTCCAACCGGGACGTGGTACCATGGACCCTATTTTCGCCCTTAGGATTCTCATGGAGAAACACAGGGAAAAGAATATGCCTCTTCATTTCCTATTTCTGGATTTGCAGAAGGCCTTTGACTGTGTTCCCAGAGAGATAATCTGGTGGGCGTTGAGGTCCAAGATGGTGCCAAATACCTATGTGGAAATCGTACGAGACATGTACCACAACTCCGATGCTATAGTCAGGACCGCTGTTGGTGACACCACACCCTTCCCTATTACTGTAGGCGTGCATCAAGGATCTGTCCTAAGCCCATATCTATTCAGTGTGATATTAGACGAACTGTCAGCCAGTGTACAGAAGTTACCACCACCTTGGCTGCTGATGTACGCTGATGATATCGCACTGGTGGATGAGGACAAGGGACGTTTAATCCGGCGTGTGCACGAGTGGAAAGGGGCACTTGAGAACGGCGGGCTGAAAATTAATGCGACGAAGACGGAGTATATGGCTTGCAATAGCTCGGATCCTACCTCCATCTGGATCGATGACGTCATGGTAGGGCGTACGGATCACTTCAAGTACCTTGGATCTGAGCTCGATGCGTCCGGAGACATCGATCGCGACATCAAAGCCCGTATAACTGCGGCTTGGGCGAAGTGGCGTGAGGTGATTGGAGTTATTTGTGACCCTAAAATGCCGGTCGTGCTGAAGGGACAGGTCTATAAAAACATCATTAGGCCTGTCCTTATGTACGGCAGTGAGGCATGGCCTCTGCTGGAGCGGCACCGGCGGTTGTTGCATGTCACGGAGATGAATATGCTGCGCTGGATGTGTGGCGTTACGCGGAAAGACCGCGTTCGTAACTCACACATTCGGGGCAGTTTGCATGTCCGTGACATTGCCGACAAATTGCAGGAAAGTCGCCTACGCTGGTACGGCCATGTCTTACGACGACCGGAAAACTACGTGGGTCACAAATGCCTCAATATGACCTTACCTGGCGCCAGGGGTAGAGGAAGGCCCAAAAGACGTTGGCTTGATGTCGTGCAAGATGACATGCGTGCCAATGGACTCCACAAGAAGGATGCCGAAGACCGGGCTAAGTGGAAGAAACTGAGTGGGAAAGCGGACCCTGGGTTCTCCCGCCCTGGGCGGGACGAACAACCGGGACAAACGCTAGGGTGGTGATGATAACCATACAATGTACTCATGGAAATAACACAGTTTTATAATTTCTTTCAGTTCAACAAACTACACCTGAAAGTCGTCCGTAGATCATTGCGACAACAAAAAATATACTTAGTGATAACAAACACAATGTAATACAAGTCTTGTCTACTCAATACAAAACAAAAGAATATTATCTATTGACACGTATTATCACTATCTGCCGTTAATTGATATCAAACAAATATATCGGACAAGTAAATAATAGTTCACTTATTGTATTTGTCACATTGACGTCCGTTGTATTCAAACACTGGCTCTCAGAACGTCGTGCATTGAAGTAGCTCCAGTTGAATCAAGCATGAACATAAATAAAACATAGACGAACATAATAAATTGAGAGCAAAATGGCAGAAAGTTCTGAAACACCGGAAAAAATAGAAGAAAAACCTTTAAATAAACTGAAAGATCTAAGAAAATATAAAGAGAAAAATTTCACTGAGAAATTATGGCACATAAAGGACAATATAACGGTGGAACCTGTACTGGCGGGTCTCATCATACCCAGTGTTATCTCCCGATTTGCCATGACAAATTTTAATTTGGACAAATCATGCAGAGTTTATTTCGAGTTTCCTGATGAAGTTTGCGGAGCTCTGGTAAATAAAGCAAGCCACAGTAACTACACAGATTACGAAAAGCAGGTACAAAAATTGATATCATCAATTGATATTTGGAAAAGCATAATTCATACAGCGTTGCCATGCATGATAATAATGTTTCTTGGGGCATGGAGTGACAGAACCGGCAAACGTAAGATCATTATTATGCTACCAATATTTGGAGAACTCGTAACATCTATTAGTAACCTAATAAATGTATACTTCTTCTACGAAATTCCGGTTCACGTTACAATATTCTTAGAGACTATATTTCCATCTGTAACTGGAGGTTGGGTGACAATGTTCCTCGGTGTATTTAGTTATATCAGTGACATAACATCAGAACGATCCAGGACCTTTAGGGTAGGATTAGTGAACTTTTGTATGACAGCTGGAATTCCTATCGGCCTTGGGATGAGTGGAATGTTGATAAAAAAGTTGGGATACTATGGAATATTTGGCACAACATCAGGATTGTATCTCGTTGTAATATTATACGGCTGCTTCTGTTTAAAGGAGCCTGATGATTGGCTGAGAGACAGGGGACTTCCAGTTGTAAGTATATTTAACATTGTAAGATAACTTATGTTGCATATTCAACCTATAAAAAAACATCTAAGAGTAAAACCAGTAGCAAATGTTAGTGTTTTTTACACGTTTCTTCATTTTCTAGACATGATTTAGATAACATTGCAATCATATTTAATTTATAATATAGCTTAGGTTTATTATATTTGATATACATATTATTATTCTATGAATTAAGTTGCTAACAATGGTATTTGAGCAAACAATAATTTAATTAAACTTGCATCTAATATCTAACCATTCTTAACTATATAATTAAATATTGTAATAATCTGAGTAAAGTATTCATAAATAATACTTCTATTGACTTCTATATAAATAGAATCTTAATATAAATTTATATTTTGTTCTTATGTACATAAACAATAATATTCATTGAGTAATACTTGTTGTGAAAAAGTAACAATCGTCATCTTATCTATTCACTCAAAAATTTCACAATTATATACGTACGTATATATAATTAGATTGTTGTCTAATATTATTAAAGTAAATGAAAATTATTAAAATATTGCTTTCATAAATATTTAAGTATGTGACAGATAAGATATTATAATCTTATACTAATTACTATTAAATTCAGGTCAAAAATTGGGTATGTGCGTCAAATTATGTGAAGTCACATATATTATGGTAAACAAAACATTACTAGTTGGGTTTTTTAAAATTTAATACAAAAATCTTCTGAATATTTGCGACGCAAAAAAAAATCCGCATAAATCATTGTTTAATTTATAACAACACAAAAGTAAATTTCTGCAAGTCATGGAAAATTTCACATGATTTGACGTAATTGATAAATTTGCTTTTAATACCAAGAATAATTTTTCGATTACATTTATTCTGGAGATAATAGTAATTAAATTCTCAATTTTTTCTAATAGCTCCTCATGATTTAAACAATAACATAACTCTAGTAACAGTTATGATTAATTTATACAAAAAATTACAAGTCATTGGAAAAAAAGTTCAAGTATTTTTTTCCCTTTAAAATTTTCTTTTCATATCGCACTGTCAATATTGTCATACTTTTATGCTCCTAAAACTAAAATTTATAATAGTTATGATAATCGTTGTATAATATGACTGTTTTATATAAAGACAAAACAATCTATATATACGAAATCTAATACTGGTTCTCCTTAACCGCAACAGAAATAAGTCAGGTTGTTCTTGTATTACATTATGTAACGTTTAATTCAGTTTGAAAAAAAAGATGTTACAAAAAATAAGGTAGAACATTGTTAATATTAGATATAAAAAATTATAAATTACCATCGAACAATTGATATTTGGGAAAATTATGTTCAATATTTTTCAATCATAATTTTTACTTTAGTTTCCCATTTTTAGTTGTAAACAAAATTGAAAAACATCGAAAATTTTCAAAAAACTTATTACAAAACCTTAAGAGGTCAAACTAGCTACTTGAAACATAATAATCCGTGGCTGAAAATACTTCAGATAACATTAATGTCAACGACTCCATAACAGAGCACACGTAACACACTTTAACTGAATAGCCATCGATTAATTACTTTACGCTTGATATAAATCATTTCACTCTTTACTTCTCCAACAAAAGATAATAGGTCTGTGATTTAAATATTTATTGTATAATAATATATAAACAACAAAGACACATTCCTCGACGATTAACAAATAAAACAATGAATGGACCGACGTTGTTCATTTAATGAAACTTGTATAGGATAACTTGACCAATAACAATAAATAATTATTATTTATAGTTCATAATTCAATTTTATTGAGGAAGACTGAAACGAATGCTTTACAATCATTACAAAAATGAATCTATTTAAGAGTAAAAAATTATTGTAGGAAATATGTAGATTTAGAATTTGTATATTTTGGACAGATATTTCAATTGAATGTTCAATCATATACGATACATTTCAACAATAATTGGTTCTTAATTATTTTATTAGAAGAAAACATACTCTGTGCAAAGAGATTAATAAAAGTGTGGATCATCTACATAGTATTTGTCAACCTGTATATCGAATGTCAAAAACATTGAAACTGCAAACGGATGCAATAACGATAGGGAACGCAGAAACAATTTGCATTATTGATTTTAAAATTCTCCAACAGTGGTCATACCAAATACATCGAACAATTTATCAAATTTAGTCAGAGGTTTAGTACAACTTTGCGGTTTTATTGAACAGGATTATGCAATTTTGCAATCTAGTAACTATTTAAACACTGGCTTAAAATGACATTCATTGATTCGATGAATTTTTGTTGTTACTAATTCAGCTGGTTTTTTATTATTGTACCCAGACATTATTATACATCAGTATTTAACAATTATTTAAAACCAAAAATAAGGAATGTTATTCTTGTTTCTCAAAATATTTATAAACCATATTTTTGTCTATATAAATATATCTATTATTATCTGACTGAAAATATGTTAAATCAAGTCTCACATATTTGCATATTTTTCAGATCGAACGCGGTGACAGCAAGGGCGTATCGTTTTTCGATGTCACTCACGTTTTGGACACAATTGGCGTAGCGTTTCAGAAACGACCCTCGAATCGTCGGGTCAAAGTGATCCTCACACTTCTGACTGTGTTCATTCTGTTTGGACCAGCTATGTGTGAGTAAAACGTGTTCTGTATATACAATGCTTCTTCCATATGTATTGCTGTTTTTTTAAGTTGAAGCAAACAGATCACGAAGCCCGATAATGGATATAAATAATGTATTGACGCGAGTCAACCTTTCACGATATTAACTTAGTAAATGTATAAAGTTATTAGGTAACTATAAAATTATCTAATATACTATTATTATATGCTATATAAGATAGAATATCATCAACTTATATTGAAATACCGTTGTAGGTACAAATCAGTTTTGAGCCACATTAGTTTAATGTATTCAAGATACTTACTTGTTTTATAATTCTCTTTCAAGCGGAGCATAATGTGTTTTACCTCTTCGTAAGAAATCAACTTCAGTGGGATATGGTAAAGTTCAGTCTCTACACAAGTTATTCCATTATTCTGCATTCAATAGGTGAGAAAACGTTATATATATACATTTTCTATAAGTTTGTTTCTCTTCATTTAATAATGCAAAATTATAAATCTAAATTCAATTTAAAGCGACAATTTAAAAGTTATATTGTTTCAAATGTTAATATTGAAAATTGTGCTTTGAAAGAATCATTCAAGTGACAATTTTATAACAATTGAATTATGCTTCTTTTACCCTTTCGATGTTAAAACTTTTTTCCAATACTCAAAAAAAATCTATAAATTGGAATGAATCGCCAACAAGGGAACTGGGAGCTGTCAAAACTTCACATGTTGGAAAAGTTGTTGGAATTTCTAAGAACAAAGTTTATAGGGCCTTTCTTAAGTAAATAATTAAATATTATTTTTCCAGTATGTATTAGAAATTTCAATATTTATAACATTTATGAAATGTATTTAAAGAATTGATTTACAACTGGATATAACGCTGGATAAAGTATTGAGAACGTTTTATAATTCCAGTTAAGGTACAGTGATTACGCCAAAAATGGTTTCATTCAAACTAAAAAAATGGCAGTAAAAAACACATCTCAGGTGAAAATACTTGAATATATTGAATGTTAAATTTATTACATTTAAGGGTAAATAAATGAACATTTTTTTCCGGTGTGCATAACTTGAACAATGTTATTAAAGTTGATGCGAAGTTGGCAACTGCGCTTCTCGTGTATTTTATTTTTAAACGCCCGCAATAAGTTTACCGCCACTCAGTTTAATTACGAGCAAGAAGTATGTGTGTTTTAAAATAATATGTTGTTTCATGCTTACTTCGCAATGGCTATCTGAAATCGTTGTTTATGCAATATAAAAGTAAAGCGAGATTCAAGTAGATCAACCGTATTTATATTTATGCACATTAAGATTGACTTACAACATATTCAAGTGTTTTTAAATATACTTAAATGAAGTTCTATATTATATAGGAAAATAAGATAAGAGATCAATTATTCACCTCGTGTTCACTTTTGATTATGATAAATAAATATTTAAGATTATTCTGTTATCCTTATGATTTGCACAACTTCTGTTAACTCTTATAACATAATTAAAGATTGTATGCCCTTTTATATAATTTCATATTGAAATCATGAGCCTTAATGCAAAAAAATCCAGAATTACATACATTTTAGGGAACACTTTTAAATAATCATAATTTTGGAAATAATGTTATAGCTTTTCCTTATTCACAAAATAGACGGAAAAATATGAGAAGCAAGTCATACTTAAGATCTGTTGGAAAATAAACTTTGCATAGTAAAAAAATATAAAAAAACATATAGCATAACTTAAAATTTGAGTACAATTTTTTTATCTTATACCATAGGTGCAATGTTCTGTATAACAATATTCAGCAAGAAGCTGCAGCTCGATGATTCATTGCTTTGCCTCATCTCGATCTCCAGCAAGTTTGTCGGATCAGTATGGACAGCGTTTGTCAAGACAGATTTGGAGCTGTATTTAAGTAAGAAAATATTCTTCTCTTGATTTTTAGTAGGCGTATTTCTTCCTTGAGCCATTTCCACAAAATTATACGTTATATTCCCATGATATACAAATCTCTGTAATTTATCATTATGATGTCACAAATAATAAATGTACTGAGGAAGTAATTTTATGATTATCTTTCAGTTCCCGTAGCCGAATTACTCAACGGTACGACATTTACATCGCTACGCTCAATTATATCCAAATTAGTAGAAAAACATGAAACCGGTAAGTGAAGGAGGAAGAATAAGGAAGATACTAAAATATAAGAATGATACATCACAGGGCCATATTGCGTGTTCTGGTGGATATGATTACTGTAAAGTGAAAGAAAACAACTACAAAACAAATATAAAATGATCTTTTGTTGTGATCTTTTGTTGTATGTGGTAAATTTTTGAATTTAATGGAAAAATTCTTTGAAGGAAAGTAGCATTTGCAGTATTGAAATTATTTACAAATCTAATACCAGTATTATGCCTTGATCCTGTGGTGATAACGTGGAGTTTAAGGAAAAATTATTACTTATCTTACATTACTGTTAGTTTCCATAGAAATCCGTTCTACAGCTTTGCATGGAAGAGCAACAAACAGACATCTTTTGCATTTATAACGTTATAAGAATTCACATATTTCTCATTTCAGCAAAAGTCAATTCATTATTCTCTTTGACGGAGACGGTCGCTTCTCTGATCTTTCAACCATTCTACTCCTGGCTCTACATGAACACCCTCCAGGTTCTGCCAGGTGCTGTTTTCCTCACAAGTGCTGGCTTGATCGTACCAGCGTCTTTCATACTTATGTAAGTACATATCCAGCACTTCCAAGCACTTGATATTTTATTAAAAATATATATATTTTAGTTTTATTACAGTCAAACAGTATCTATTTATATTACCTTATTGTATATTATTAATAACGTATTTGTTCTATCTTTCCAGACTGTTTTATGTGCAATATAGAAAAGAATTAGCAAGTGCAAGAAAAATGGCACTAGAAGCGGAAGAAAAAAAAGAGAATTCTATTAAAACTACAGAAAAAGCTGGTGGTCCAGAAGTTAATGTAAAATGTGCATAAAAGTTTTAGACTTTATCATTTTTTTATTAGAATAAAGAAGTTATGTTATGGTAGTATGGTAAAACTAAATTGTAATTTATAAAAAATAATTTAATTTATTATAAAAACTAGAGGTAACAATGTCAAAAAAAATATTTCAGGTTAACAGACTGTTTTCACATTCTATTGTTATTGTTTTTATAACATTTCCTTCCAATGTTTAGGAAAAACTGGCATTTTAGTAAGTTTTCTCAAATCGTCCTTAAGAAATATGTGATTTTGTTATTATTGGTTCCTTAAAATATTGTAAGTTACACATAACTAATGAGTTGTTACAATTAAATCTATTATTATAAATTCAGCTGTATTTTTACTAAAGAATTAAATGATTTAAAAATGCAACAATTAAATGTATGAAAATAAATGAAAAATAATAAAAATAGTTTCTGATAGGAGCACAAAACAACCGGGATAGGGTCAAGGAAGAACGCCCAAGATACGGATATGTTTAATTCTTTTATTCGGCAAGTCGAAAATGCTAAATATGGTAAGACAAAAGGAGATTTTTACACCGTATTATCACTGAAATGATGCACCTTAATTCATGATTGGTTTCTAGAACTGTTAATTTTTTTATCCTAATCCATTCCAAATGACTTGCCCAGATCAGAGTTATTAAGTAAAATAGGGCAGTTGGAATTGACAAGCATTAGCTGGAGAGATGTAAAGTACTCTTGGGTAGTGGTCAATACCCGCGTGGTCGCGCTACGTATTTGAAAAACATACATGAAAGCCGAGTGCGAAAAGAAATAACTACAAACCAGCGATCATTTGGTTGTGTGAGAAAGGCACTAGGGCTATAAAATCAAAATTCAAGCCTTACTCTATGAATAAAGCGGCTCCGGATTGGACATGATAAATACGTACAAGAAAAAATGTTAAATGATTGAGCATATTTATGGGTTGGCGTCCAGCCCAGACATTTCTTTATTCGCAATTTTAAAGTAACGTTGTGCTAATGGAAATTACGGTTCTTTGGGAAACCAACATCCCTAAACAACGTGATATCAAGGTAACACGAGCTTACTAACGATCACTATCACTAATCACTAGGAATCGTTATGTCCTAAATTTGTAGTAGGTAGAAGTAGAAGCTAGAAGTATAGCCGCTAAATCTCTCTACAACCTACTTAAACATACAACAACAAACATCAAAACATTGTTAGAACCTACTTCGCAGGTAGCCCTAGTAGGTTTATTTCAAATTTGGTTATGTATAGAGAGTAGTTTGGACGGTGGGGTTGATCATTTAACGCGTGTTAGATAGAGTTCCCTTTAACCTACACCTGGGATGCAAGTTCCTGGTACTGTTAAAGCTCCTTTCTCTGCAACGTGATGGACCCGGTACGCGCACGGTAAACCTATGGAATGCTGAGAAGCTTTCGTTGTAGTTTCGTCCAGAAAATAAAATAGAAAAAAAAAAACCATAAGACACTTCATTAAAGCCACTTCATTAAATTAATTCAGTAAATTTATATCGAATAGAAAAATATAAAATTTAAGTGCATTATAATTAAATAGTAATTGCACACGTTAAGCAGGTATTTTTGCAGATTTGAAGTATCTCTTATACAAAAAAGGATTATTAGAATAAGTATAGAAAAATTATAGAAGCAAGACACAAGGATACGTTTCACTGTAGAATTGCAAGGAAATATTGAAATTTATTGATGAAATAATTTATTGAATCAAATATAATTAAATTCTGATATTTATAATGTTCTCAAAACATAATAACGTACTAAATCGATAACTTAAAATAAAAAAATTACTAGAGTAGTCCACATTTAGAAAATAATACACCTTCAAAACGAAGCTGTTCTGTCACATTTAAAGACGAAATTATCAAATAAAATGGCAAATTCGAACTAATATTCACGCTCACTTTATTGTGCTTGATATTAGATGTCAAGAGTCTCCTTTTATAGGAATATAATAATTACAGAAATTACAATAATACCAAATAATAAGGACCTTTCTTTACTACTCCGAGAATTTTTGCAACTTTTTCACTATCGGCTTTGATAGATACAGGTCAAATGGCCATTATTTGATATGAAACTTTGTCTCCATATCACCTACAAAATCTCCCTAAAAAGGTCATGTATGGTGCCATCAGGAGATTGGATATGGGTCTTAGGAAGAGATTTAAGTTGACAGAAACCTTCTTTGTCTCGAAATGACGTTAAATCCATTCTGTGTTTTCCAATTTTTTATTATTTAACAAGATTATATAATATCATTATATACATTTTTTATTTTGAGTATATGTATATACATAGTCCGCATCTAATGTATTCGATAAATATCAGGAACTTATTTTCACATACTACATAGACGGGATATTTTTATGTTGAGATATAATTTTTCAAATACATATTTTACACAAAGATATTCGGTTTTTTTTTCTTATTTGCTTCTTTTCACTTTTGTTAGATAAATTTGAAACCTGCTTTAAATTAAACTAATATAAATGTTAGTGAATAGCTACTAGCAGATCCTTTTAAGTGAATCTAAAAAATCTATGAAGCTTCCAACGGTGAATGTGATTTCATTTGTAATTTTTCCAAAATTTGGACACGAAGTAGCAGGAACTGTAAACTACATAATAATTGTGTTTACAAATTTATAAAACTGAAAATGAGTCACAATATTTATAATCAGTTTATCTTTATTACATATTAATCTATAACATTTGTTTCCTGATTATAGTAAGGCTGATAGACAGTCATTTTATATTTTAGAGGGCATTTGTCTACAAATTACATGTTTGAATCATTTTTGCTTTTATTGGTAGATTATAGTGTTATAACATTTTGATCATTATTTTCTTATACATATAAACACATGATCACGACATGGGCGCTGTTGGAAGGTGTAAGGTTTGAATCTAGTTGTATGGACCATTAATGATTTTAATAATAATAATAATTAAGCCAACGTACTCATGCAAATAATAACAAGCTTATAGAATTTAGAGAGAAATATTAAGTATAGTTATTTTAATAACAAAAAGTTATTAATTTTTCTTCACACTTTTTTTTCTTTATTTCAGTATTAAGTTAATAACCTAATTTGATGACATAAAGAAAAAACAAAGATTTAATGTAATTTAATTTTAATATTGTGTGATATCCTGACAAACATTTATATATTTATTTCAAACTTATTTGCAAAGTAATAAGTGAAGCACGTCTCAAATCCTTGTGCTATCATAAGCAAATGCTCAAACGACTGGAATAAAGTGAAAAAATGTATGAAAATATACTAGGTATTAGTTAATTGTATTAAATAAGGCATTAATTAGTAAATTCATTAGTTAGTAATATTATATTAATTGTATGACATTAAACTACAATTTTAAGTAATTATTTCCTTTGTATTATTACATATATTTTAATTTAAATTATATTTTTTAATTTCTGTATTTAAATTATTGCTGTCTCATCACCATAAAATATAATTATCTTGCGATTTACTTTATATCAATATCTTAACTTAATTGATATGAATCAAACACTCATATATGAAGTATTAGCAATAATGAGTAGCTCATTTGTACTCCTTCCTCATTGATGTAATAGTCGATATTGGGTCAAAGTGATCGTCTATTCATATTGAAATAGATGTGGACATTTAAAAAATAAAAAATATTAATAAAAAAAAAATGGCAGAAAGTAAAGAATTATTCACGAACCCGGAAGAAACACCTCTAAATGAAAAGAAAGAACCGGATCTACAACAAAAAAATAAGGAAAAGAGTTTTACCGAAAAATTGGTAGAAATGAAGAAAAATATAACTGTTGAACCGATGTTGGCTGGTTTTGTTATACCCAGTACGATATCTAAATTTGCTATGGGTTACTTCAACTTATATAAAGTTTGCAGAATTAATTTTCAATATCCAGAAGATATTTGTAATCCATCCGAAAGTTCTTCTGCAAACTATACAAATGTGAACGCTACAGCCTATGAAAGAGACGTACAAAAAATTATAACTGCGATGGATATATGGAAAAGCATTATAAATACAGCTTTGCCATGCATAATAATAATTTTTCTTGCTGCTTGGAGTGACAGAACTGGAAAGCGGAAACTTGTTATTTTGATGCCAATATTTGGTGAACTAATTACATCCCTAAATAATATAATTAACGTATATTTCTTTAAGGAAATTCCTGTCGAGTTGACAGTATTTTTAGAATCTTTCTTTATGTCTATAACTGGAGGATGGGTGCTTATGTTACTAGGTGTTTTTAGTTATATCAGTGACATTACAACAGAAGAAACTCGGACTTTTAGAGTCGGATTGGTAAACTTTTGTTTGACAGCAGGTATTCCTATCGGTATTGGAATCAGTGGAATATTAATCAAAAATTTAGGATTCTACGCTCTTTTCTCTGTAACTTTTGGACTATTTCTTCTTGTTTTCGTATACGGTGTTGTCTGTATAAAGGAACCAGATGATTTTCTAAAAGAAAAAGGACTTCCTAAAGTAAGTTTGAAAAATAATTATTTATATTTAGAGGTTTAGGATTTTATATGAAATGATAAATGTATTTATTTTTGGTCAATCCATATGCAAAGATAAGATCTACCTCATTTCTATCATTCGAAAATAATCTAGATTTAATAAATTACACGCAAAGTTTATAATTGATATTATAAATACAATTATTTATTTCCTTCTCTTCGATAACCCAGCAATTAATTTAAACTAAGTAAAATTTAAGATTTTTTTTTTTTCAGATTCAACGCGATGTCAAAGCAAAAGTGTCGTTTTTTGCGCTAGATAACGTCGTAGAGACGATTAAAGTTGCTTTTCGGAAACGCTCCTCAAATGGCCGAATGAAAGTTATACTAATACTCGTAGCAGTCTTAGTTCTTTACGGGCCGTCTATGTGTTAGTACTACAGACTACTAATATATATATATTAATTCAAAATTTACATTGATCATATATAATTAATGCAGTAATCTTGACAATTAGTCCAGTCATTATAGTAAGTTCACCTCGGAATTTGAGATACCCAGCTGTAAGTCTGTAAATAGTTGTATATTGACACCCTAAAAGTTGTCTCAAAACCTACATATGGTAGGGTGTAAGCAACTATTAAATTTCATGGTCAAAGGTCACAAAAATCGGTTTTTTGCGCTTTTTTTGGAAATATCTCATTTCCTATGGGTTTTTTGCTATTTGTATTTATTATCAATAGAATACTAAATTCTCTACAAATTTTGTTTCAAAATTTTTTTTATACGGTGTACCGTTTTCGAGATAGAGGGCGGAGAGCGCGCGGTCACCGCATCACTTCAGGTTAACCGGTGCCTCCGGTCGAAAACGCGCCATATAGTTGATGAACTATCAATAAATCAATGATTATAAATATTTGTCAATTTTTATTAACTATTATATTATATTTTATCATTTTCTCCATGCATTAAATCTATATCTATTCAAACCTTATTGGCAGTCTATAATGCTCCGAAATCTGTGAAAAGTCTCGATCATCTTCGTTATACGCATTTCGTCAAGTCTACAAAACTTAATAAACCTGTGCAGCTTTCAAATATTCCATCAACAAGTGCAGCTGCTCATCAACATTTCAACCGTGTATATTATCAAGTTCAAACTTGGTTAGGACATGATTTGGAACCCCAGGTATGGGGTTGGGCAATGCGAAATGATTTTCTGGAGCCTATCATGACAATTTTACCACCTGCTCCAGAAAATTTGCTAAATACAACTTTCTGCAACTGCAAAAGTGGTTGTGGTTCACGATGCGGATGCAGGAAAGCGGGCTTGTAATGATCTTTAGCTTGTGGCCAATGTAATGGGCAAGCTTGTCTCAATGCTCAACCATATCAGAGCGACATTAACGAAGATGGAACCTTTGATCCCGAAATCATGGAAGAACTTGAGACAAATGTCGTTGAAGACGATAATGAAGACCAGTTTGAGATTTACCAGCAGCCAGAAGACGACGATGAAGAGGAAGAAGATGTTTAAAATTATAAATTGTAGTTTTTGTACCCTTTATTCCAATTTTTAACTTTCAATAAAAAATAATTTATTCAATGATATTTTTTAATAAAAAGATTAATTCATAATTTATTTGTTTTTTTTTTCATCATGTACGAAGTTATTAATATTAATTAGGTTAAAATTCAAATATAATTCTTATATTTTCATTAACAAATTTGCAATTACATGGACAGGTAAGTGTTGTTAAATAAATTAATACTGAATAAAAAGTGGGTAAGTTAGGAAAAAAATGATAAAATATAATATAATAGTTAATAAAAATTGACAAATATTTATAATCATTGATTTATTGATAGTTCATCAACTATATGGCGCGTTTTCGACCGGAGGCACCGGTTAACCTGAAGTGATGCGGTGACCGCGCGCTCTCCGCCCTCTATCTCGAAAACGGTACACCGTATAAAAAAAATTTTGAAACAAAATTTGTAGAGAATTTAGTATTCTACAATATTGATAATAAATACAAATAGCAAAAAACCCATAGGAAATGAGATATTTCCAAAAAAAGCGCAAAAAACCGATTTTTGTGACCTTTGACCATGAAATTTAATAGTTGCTTACACCCTACCATATGTAGGTTTTGAGACAACTTTTAGGGTGTCAATATACAACTATTTACAGACTTACAGCTGGGTATCTCGAATTCCGAGATTCTTACCTAATTTAAGCTTAAATGACTGGACTAAATTATTTCTTATTTCAGCTGAAAATTCTATATTCTACCTATTCTTGAGAAATGGTCTTCGATGGGACGTGGTTCAATATAGCGTTTATTTAATCTATTCCATAGTCCTTCACTCTGTAGGTAAATATACTGTAAAAATAAATTATTGGGGTCTTTCAGATCGTTTTTAATATTATTCATCAAACTGTTATGTTTTAATTTTTTTTTAATTTTAAAATTAAATTTGTCATAGGTGCAATGACATGTATAGCAATATTCAGCAAGAAGCTGCAAATCGACGATGCATTGCTCTGTCTCATCTCGATCGCCAGCAAGTTTGTCGGATCAGTGTGGACGGCGTTTGCCAAGTCGGACTGGGAAATATACATGAGTCAGTATTTGCCGACTTTCAATATTAAAGTAGTTGTATGATTTGCATTTTATGGTTTACTTCTAAAATCATTGCTATTGTTAGAGGTACGGTTTCAGACTTTTTTCAATGTTCTGCCAGTATTTATAGTTTTCAAATACAGGTTGATACTTAAATATTGCGATTACAAAATAACAATGGCTCAGTATTAAAATTAATTAGAATCAGTCATTAAAAATATTCTAAGGATTATATATATTATAGTTATGTAGAACAGCATAGATGTCACCACTTGTACCACTATATCTTAGTATCATATAAAATATATATTCATTTCAGAATTGAACTGAGTTTATTTTCAATATATGTGTAAATAACCAGACCAACTGACAGACACTCACATCTCGTCTGCCCTTGATCACGGTTGCTGAAAAGTAGCCGAAACGTCGGGAGTATGTAGTTTCTAATCAAAAATAAAAACGCGAAGTAAAATCCGAAAATATTAGTTTCATTTATATGTGTATAAAATTTTACAGTTAATTGTAATCATTGAAATATTTTTTATTTACAGTACCAGTTGCGGAGTTACTTACGGGTACAACTTTTACATCACTACGCTCAATTATGTCCAAATTAATAGATCAAAATGAAACTGGTGAGTAAATACTTCACTTAAATATTCAACGATATTTAAAAATATATACAAATATATTTTTCTTAGATTGATGTAATCAGAATTATAAAGCACATTTATTATTGATAACATATCTAACTTTTATAGATCCTTTGCAAATTATCTTAGTAGCTATATTATTTCAATAAAAAATATTTTCCGTGTTTGATAATGCATTGATTTCTACTTATTATTCGATTTTTTTACTTATTCAAAAGTGTTTATTGTTTCTATTCTATATATTCATATTACTTATTATTTTATTTCAGCAAAAGTAAATTCCCTTTTCTCCTTAACTGAGACACTGGCGTCACTGATCTTTCAACCATTTTATTCATGGCTCTACATGAACACACTGCAAGTTATGCCTGGTGCTGTATTCCTCACTAGCGCGTCTTTAATAGTACCAGCCTCCTTCATTTTAACGTGAGTAAATAGAAGACATAAATTGTGACAATTATTTTAAAATGGTAGATTGAATCATTATTGTATTCTATGTAGGGATGATAGTGAAAAATTGTGGTATGGAGATGAAGATATATGTTCCTTGGAACTCAGCTAAAAGTATGAAATACCTTTTAACTCGAAAGACTACTTTTTTAACAAACATTATATTACAACAATTCCCGAAGATCTCAATAGTTACTATTAAACTTAGTCTTATCATCCCAAGGACGGTTGAAAGAAACAAAAAAAAAATTGGCATGTAAAGATAAAAATAAACTTTAGTAAGTAAATACTAGGCGAAGTTTGGATTTTTGTTTCTTAAAACTTTAACGTCGTTTTTAATATAATATCAACGGCAACATAATACGGATATAATATAAGGATAATAAGTCCGTCGAAATATATTTCGTATCAGATGTTGGGTTCAACTGCACAATTACTTTCATTATAAAATAACCGCTACAACCGCATACAATTGATTTTCTTTTGACATCTGAAAACAAAGGCTAGGCTTTACGAGTACTGAATTATGAATTAATTTGTCCAATTTCCCGTTCAGAAAGAACGTACTCATTAAATATGTTTCGTAAAATAAGGTAAATATTCTTTAGTTGCTGAGTTCATTAAATGTTAAAGCAATCCTAAAAAAAAGGAAAAAATTAATTATAATTAGATGATAGTGAAGTTAAGCAATTAAGATTATTATAATTTCAAATAAAACGATCATTCCACTACTAAAATAATAATTTTATGTTTTCTCCCAACTTCAGTATCGAAATAAAGTTAATAGTAATATCGTAATCGAAGTTTTTTAATCTAAATGACTCGAAAGATGCTAAAGCATAATTTGAATATTTATGAGACGCAACCTCTTTCAATGGATTCACCGTACGGGTGCCGGGTCCACCGCGTTGCATGTAGAGGAGCTTCAACAGTGCCTGGGACTTGCGACCCAGGTGTAGGTTTAAGGGGCCCCTTAACTAACGCGCGTTATACGCTCACCTCCACTGTCCAAACTCCTCTCCCTACCTAACCAAATTTGAAAAGAACCTACTAGGGCTGCCTTCGATGTACGTTCCAAGAATGCATTAATGTGAGTTCTGGACAAGCCCAAGTCTTTTAGTAGGTTGTAGAGAGATTTCGCTGTTATACCTCTCGCTCCCACCTCTACCGCGTACAAATCTACGACGAACCTATTTCGATGAGTTCGTTTGTGAGCTCGTAATATTTGTTAAAACGAATGAAATACCCGAAATTAAATATTATTCGAAACATCGAGCCAAAAATGCTTTGCCAAATATACATAGCCTTAAGTAAAAGCGTTTTAGTTAAATACAAACTTTATAACAAAAAAAAAAGACAAAAAGTTATTTACTATTTAAAAAATATTTCTTTTTGCAAATTAACGTCATTGCTCTTTTAAATTTTAAGCCCTTATGTTTCATATGATTCTAGGCACTGTCTCTGTTTTAAAGATTTATAGAAAATAATTTATAAATTCTTATATCTTTCCAGAACTAAAAATGTGTAATAATTTATTAATTTCAGATTGTTTTACGTATTATCTCGAAGAGAATCATCGAAGGCGAAGAAAAATGCACATGAGGAAGAAGAAAAGACATATATTTGTGAGAAGACACCGACATAATATTAGAATTAGTAAAAGGTTAATCTAGATTTAAATAAAAACTATGTCATAAGTTCTACTTATAATTGTAAAATGTAAAAAAGAAACTTCGTCCTTTTTCAAAAGAGTGACGTCGCCATAGCTGAATACAAAAGTGCCTTGGTTCTTGCCTATCGTCAGGCTCTTAGACTATTAAAGAAAGCCTCATAGAAGGTTTGACGAATTCCTTATTTCGTAGAAGTTATTGCTGATTGCAACTGCTTGAACAAGACTGTTTTTAATTTATACCCTCGCCTCTATGTATACCAACCGACACTCATTGTTGGGCCTGCACTTTCACAGGTGGCTACAGAAAAGGTTATACATGTGACATCTGATAATTTTAACTACTCTTAATAAATTATTATGTAAATAAAAGGTAGTAGCTCAAATATATATGTTTTTAGAAGTGAAATATAAAAAAATATATGATATAATCATAAAAATATAAGAAAATACGTAAAAATAAACAAATGTTGTTTTAGTAATTTCATAGGATTGAATTTGTGTTATAGCTTTAAGTATTTTATAATATTAAATGTATTTTATTTTTGTAATTGAATATTTAAATAAAAATGTTTCCAAATCACAGGGTAGGTTATTTATTCTTTATTTTTTTTACTATTTTAAGTACTGCTTAAAATAAAGTTGATTTTTTGATGATTAAATAATTAACAAGGTCGATATATAATTATTTTAAACGATTTTTATACATCTTGATTTTATAATATGATTACCGATTTAGTAAAAAAAGTTATATGTTAATATCTCACTTCCAGATTATTTCCTTTGCATAAATCGCTTCATATTTTTTGCATGATTGCAAGTAAACTAAAATATGTTTACAAAGTAACTTCCGTATTCATACTTTAATTAAACCGTATTGTTATAGTAAAATAGGGGACACAGTTTCATACCAAATGAATTTTATAAGTCCGTCAGGATATAACATAATTTTCGATTATTTTACACCTATATATATATATATATATATATATATATATATATATATATATATATATATATATATATATATGTATATATATACAGTAAACTCTTAGCTAACGCAGTAACTCGGGAATGTCGACTAATAAATATATTATACAGTAATACACATCTTGTAAGCAAATTTTTAATTACACGATCTCTTTAAAAATAGTAAAAAAAATGGAAAAATTATAACCTTCACAAAAGTGCGGTGAGGTCAGCTAGTAAATAGTGACAAGAACTTTTCTCAGAGCTGCATTAAGAGGATTCAAAAGACTCAAAATATCGCGGCTGTCCATATACAAAAATATATATATATATATATATATATATATATATATATATATATATATATATATATATATATATATATATATATATGTATATATACAGTAAACTCTTAGCTAACGCAGTAACTCGGGAATGTCGACTAATAAATATATTATACAGTAATACACATCTTGTAAGCAAATTTTTAATTACACGATCTCTTTAAAAATAGTAAAAAAAATGGAAAAATTATAACCTTCACAAAAGTGCGGTGAGGTCAGCTAGTAAATAGTGACAAGAACTTTTCTCAGAGCTGCATTAAGAGGATTCAAAAGACTCAAAATATCGCGGCTGTCCATATACAAAAAAGTTAAGGCTACAGTTGCTCCCGAAACATAAGGATTAGATGTTAGAACACTGATGCAAAGAACTGTGATCAAATACATCAGACTTTGAAGTATTTTTATTTATGTTCTGTATTAAAACTTGTCATGAAAATCTAAAAATGCCACAAATGCCCAATTCACGCCACTCATAAAGATTATGGTACGTGCGCTCGCTCTGCCTGGGACACCACGTGATTATAAAATGTAGCAGAATCGTACCTACGTGGTAGTAACCCAGTTGCATCCTATGTTGCCAGCAGGGTCATCACGCGAACTATAGCGAATGCCTCAAAACCCCGCTTGAGATAAAAGTTGGGCGACGCCCTAACAGAGATCGAGAGCTCGTTCCCGTAAAGATCCCCAAGCCAACCTACTCCCTTATTTTCCTAAGTGCCAAAAGTATAATATCTCATTGAGATAACGTCACATTTTACTTACTTTCAGTCATGTCAAAGCTAAACCTGTGCTCCATCCACATTCGCCCTTTAGCAATTATGAAATTGCAGGTACTGCAAACATAATTCTACTAACAATAGGGCCTGCTGTTTAGAGGCCTTGAAATAGGGTAACAGCAGTAATCAATTGCAAAAAAAAAATGAGCAAGAAAGGATATCTCCAAATAAAAAATAATGATTTGATTAATATGAATCATTGTTATTGTAACTAGTTAGTTGAATCGTCTGTTTGCTGACATAAAAATATTTCTCATAAATCGATATGACTAAATTTCCCGATATTGTTAGAAATAGCCGAAATTTATTTATTGCCTTTGATTATTAGCTTTATATTATTCATAAGATTTCGTTAGTGCCTTTTTTGAGATTGGAAATATTCGTAAAGTTTATGTATCTATATTAAATTAAAAAGGTACATGGTATTTTCTGTAAGAATAGCATTCTATGCTTCGTATGAATGTTGGGTATTACTATCTCAAAATGTAAGTATAACTATAATTTTGTATTTTATTTTATTATTTGTATGAAGTACCTCCGGTTATTCAATATATTTGATTCCCCATTTCTATTTAAAAAACCTGGGACTATTATTGCCCTCAGGGTATAAACCGAAGACTTTAATTTTGTAATACAACATTCTCTAGAACCCATATAGTCATCGTTTGGATCATCAACCTAACACAGAACAGTTACAAATAACTAAGGGAACAGCCATAATAAAATAAAATAAAAACCTAAAAGGAAAACAGCAATTGTTAAAAAATCACCAAAATGCATATTAAGTTACAAAATTAGATAAAATCAATAGTAACTTGCTACGAATTACATCAAAACCAGAAACGTTAAATTTAAGTTAATTTCAAAAGATTACAATAAAAACAGTTAACATTTCAAAATGTGTTCTAGTATGTAAAAATGATTTAATTGAGGGCCAGAACCACTAAACATACATATATCAATCAACGAAGCCTCGAACCATTCGTTCTAGTTATATGACTGTTGAGTTTCCGATTTGTAAATAAGATACTGTTACCTGTAATTTCAATATACTTTTATTGCAAATTGGAATTCATTGCGATACCCTCTTATACTCTGATATAAAACTCTTGTCTCCCAATCAACTGAAATAATTTTATGAAATAAAACATTTTACAAGCTTGATCAATGCAATATATAGGTCAATAATCGGAAGTTAATACAATATGAACTTGATACAGGTGTTTTTAATATTATTATTAAGAAATGATAAACCAGGCTAAAACAATAATAATACTATGTTACAAATGAACGGCTTTGTTCTTATCATATTCGTTAATCAACCAACTGTATCTCTTAAGTAATTTAGCACGATTGATAGATTATATATTTATCAAAGACAACCGTAGACTACACAGTACTTTGTGGTAGCATAAGTGTGACAACGGTTTGTGAAGATAATTATGACTATAATGTTTTATATTAACATTTTATAAGAACAATTATTAATACAAAGTGACCATGACAACGGAAACCAATAACAACCCAGTAGAAAATGGGAACGTCCCAGAAGTTTTTGATGAATCACACCCTTTGCGGGAGAATGTTCAAATCCAGGAAGAGGTCAAGAAGAAAAGAAGTTTTAAAGAAACTTGCAGTTTTGTACTAAAAAATGTGACGGTAGAACCGACCATGTTCTTATTCATTTTCTCCATCATTATAACAGTTCTCACGTCACAAAATTTAAATTTGGAGAAAGCTTGTCGAATTAATTTGAATTTTACATCAGAAATCTGTGATTCTCTAAAATCACAAACATTAGGAGAACAAAATATATATGAAAGAGATGTTCAACATTTAGTTGCTAAAGCTATGTCCTGGAGAACTTATATTACGGCTAGTTTGCCCTGTGTACTAGCACTTTTTGTTGGTTCATGGTCAGACAGAACTGGCTATAGAAAGATTTTTCTCATAGTAGCGATAACAGGTCAAATGCTTTCTTGTCTTAATGGAATTATCAATACTTATTTTTTCCATCAATTAAGATTAGAAGTCTTTGTCTTTACTGATGCCGTCATTGATGGTTTGTCTGGCTCATGGTGTATCTGTCTTCTGACAATGTTTGCGTATATAAGTGCAATTACTACAAATGAAAACAGAACATTCCGAATGGGTCTCATCAATTTTAGTTTAACTGTTGGGTTTCCAATAGGAATGGGTCTAAGTGGTATACTATTGAAAAAAATCGGTTACTACGGATGCTACGGACTCTCAGGGAGTTTACATTTTTTAAATATTCTTTATAATGTTTTTATTCTAAAGGATCCCCCACGTTCGCCAGAACAAAAATTAGTAAGTAAATAACTACCACTACTATACAATAACAATAACTTTTCATAACATATTTTTAATTATACTTAATTTCTTATTTTTTTAGCATGATAAGAAAGGCAAATGTCACTTAGCCCGCCTCTTCTTTGATTTGACAAACGTAAAGGACACAATACAAGTTGTTTTTAAAAATGGTCCAAATAACAGAAGACTTCGAATATGTGGGATGCTTTTGGTAGTTAGTATTTTATTTGGACCCATGCATGGTGAGTTGCCTTTTTGACATATTTCTATTTTTGTGTTGCTGTAGTTTTATTCCTTAACCTTAAATTATTTCTTTAAAATGCTTTAAATTTTGTTAATAGTAAAATAAACTAATGTCACCGGTAATGAAGATTGGTTATAAGGAAATATAAACAAAGATGTCTAAAATAATGTGCAAATAATTAATAATATTAGAAATAAAAATAGTTACAGTTATGTGAGCTATACTAAACAATGGATTGAATACAATTTTACATATGTTTGGACACATAGATTGTATGCACTGAATAAAAAATACACATTACACATATAGTTATAAACTAATTGTCAAGACCTATTAAGGGAATAAACTCATAATTACGTTGTTTTTAGGTGAACTGGCAATTATGTACATATCGACACGTTATAGATTTAATTGGGATGAGGTCATGTTTAGTTTTTTTCAAGCGTACAATTTTGTGACGCACACGGTTGGTAAGTAATACATTGCTTGCTACATATTGCAGTATCTTGATATAGTTTATTTTATAAATTAGCTGTAATAATAGAGATTTATCAATTAAAAGAATCAAGTTTTAGGACACACATTTATTAAATTAAGTCGTGGTTAAGTAATTTGGAATTTCACAAAAAAGTATCTACATACTTTTTGATAAGCATAATTTTTCTATTACTTAATGTAATTTTAATAAAAATACAATTACAAATTTAATCACAATAATTTCTATTTTCAGGAACGTTATTTTCAATAACAGTATTCAGTAAATATTTAGGATGGCACGATTCAATATTGGGCATCATTTCAACAACGAGTAAAATAGCAGCGTCTTTCATTTACTGTTTCGCAAAGAATCAAAGGATATTCTTTATAGGTAAGTAATATCAGATACATTATTCTGTATAAATACTGACATTGTAATTAATATGTGACATGCAGAATAAATAGAATTTTATGAGCTTAACAGATAATTAAATTATTTATTTTGCAAATATATGTAATGAACCGAATAGGGAACTATCTTGTAAATGCGACAACAGATAATATGTTTTATAGTATCCAAGAATAATTAATCTATTAATTTTTGAATAGAACAATAGAATGTTTAATCAAATATTTAATTTAAGTAACATCGTATTTAACAATACTTCTAACAATAGCAAAACACTTTACTTTTTGCAATGCCACGTCACAAACCATACATTTCAATTTAAATAGACAAAAAGACAGTAATAGTAATAATTTACCAAAATAATGTTTTTCCTAGTCAATGCTTAGGTTTTTGCATTAAACTGTTATCTATTTACGGAAAAATTTATAGGAATAGTATTTTCTTTAAGTAAACACATTCATTTTCCTCAAGATAAATTATTTAAATATGTTATATTTACTAAAATGCATTTAATAAATATGTACATATGTTTTAGCACCACTCGTTGATATATTAAATGGAACGTCACTATTAGCTATGAGATCGATTCTTTCAAAAATGGTTCTACCAGAAGAGTTCGGTAAGTTACTCAATTGTTAATAGGTCAATAAAACAAAATATAAGATGTTTTAATACTTAAAATATTAACAAAGTTGTCAAATATCTACATACAACTTGGAACGGAAGAAAGCCTTCTTTTTTGTTCTCTATTTAGTGTTAACAAAATAGATTTATGGTTATATGTGTGAACTTAGAACTAGCTGATTTAGTTAAGAACTGGGTGTGGTGTTGAGAAATAAAATATTTGTTATCATGTGACGAATCTGTGGATAATCATATCGTAACCTGTCATATCGTAACGTGTTGATAATAATAGTTAGCCTTCTTCAGTAACCGAAAATATATTAAAAACATATATACATACATATATTACATTGATGTTTGTACATATGTATAGCGGAGCTACAGCTATATCGTTTTTTTAATTGACCACTAAATACTTACATTATATTCAACATTTTGGATAATACTTAATTGTAATAAAATACCGGTTTGTAATTATCATTAATCAAATTCATTTTCTCATTAAGTTTTGTTTAAAAATTTAATGGAAAATTGATTTTTCTTTTTGGTATCAAAAGGTCTGACAATAACAATTACTTCGTTATTAATACGTTATTAATAAATGAAAATTTTTCATATTTCATTCACCTTTTTGTCCATATTTTGTTAACTTTTTTATGTTTCCCAAGAAACCATTTCATTTCAACACTCGCTATAGACCCTGAATTTGAAATCAATGCAAAATTATTATTATATTATATGGTAGTATATTTTATTTTTACCGTAATTTAACCTACGTTTACCAAAGTATTATTTTAATATATAATTCATATATGTTTCTCTGAAATATATATTTATAAATATTTCTGGAATACACTATATATTTCTATAAAACTGGGAATCATTTTGAAACATATGATGATTTCTAATACTTTTTTATATTTAAGGTAAAGTGAATTCAATTTTTGCGTTGACTGAAAATTTGATGCCATTGGTGTACGTACCTCTATACACAGCAGTATATATAGCGACTATGGAGATCTTGCCAGGAGCAGTTTTTCTCATGGGATCAGGCATGACCATTCCCGCTCTCATAGTGTTCATGTAAGTCACATAAAATTATTTCAATACACTCAAAGTAAACTTAAACAGATGTTTAGATAATCAGTAGCGAGTTAGAATATAGTAATTGACAGAAACGATTAAAAGGAATAACTAAGCGAAACTTATTTTTCATATATTAAATTAGTTAATGGTAATTGTTAAAACTGGATTCTGCGTCATCATTAAATATACTATGTTCGTAGTTCTCTTACTACGACGGATCTTTTTCAATTTAAAAAGAATTTTATTTTAAATAATTTAATTTTAGTCAACTATTTACACTATCTTTATAACTTTAATGACAAGTTACTTACGCTTGTTGGAATAATACCAAATTTACTCGTGATTTGACGTAGCTTCAGACGTTGTTTATGTACATTTCCCTCATTAATTTATGTATTCTATGATTATTTATAATATTAGATTTAGATAAAACTAGCTTCATTTTATTTTATATTTTAATTTGGCGTTTCTGTAATGATAATTTAAATAACAGAAGAATACAATGGTAAGTTCTGAATGATTCTTTAACTAATGTTTAATATTAGGTCGTTAGGTCAACATTTAACGCCCATAATCTTAGTAATTTGACTATCTAAATCCATTTTTCTTTTATTTTCTAAGACTCTAAAAGTCAATGTATACTTCAATATTTTTCTATTTTAACAGAGAATAAAAAAAATTCAAAGAATTTTTTTCAAAAAACATAAAAATATCAAAAAGTATTTGATTGTTGTATATGTATATTTATATTGCAAATAAAAATTCCCAATTTTCAAAACAGTTTAGATAGGTAGTAGAAATTTTGATCACATATTCAAAGTAAACATTTTATTTATATTAATAGTATTTCAAAATGCTCGTTTTTAAATATAATTTTGTAAGCCTTAAAAAATAAGGTCTTAGTTTTATAAACCATAAAAAAATTAATATATAATAATCAGACTTAAAAATAGAGAGAAACACAACAGCAAAAGTATTTTTATATCATTTACTTTTTACAAAATCCTTGTGATATTGATGTCATGTTTTATAATTTTCATAACAATATTCATTACAAATTTACACTACATTTGACTTTATGGCAATACACACGGAAAACATCAAATAATATCTGCTGAAAATTTTGCTTCTTAGATGAAACAGTGAATTTTGAATATTGGTTTTTAAAAATTGTGTAATTAATAATTTAGTTTATACAATAATTAAATATATTTCAGTGGATTGTTATGGGAGTACAAACGAAATGAAAGACTGCCAAATAAACGGGCTGATATAGAATTATCACCGAAAGAGAAATAAACTGCTTTGTTTTAAACTATGAGAGGGCGTGGATAAAACACCTAATTTGGACAATGTCACCAGAATTAACATGATAATCTTGATAAATATAGCTCAATTTTGTACCTAACTATAGATTAGACATTCATGATATTTAGATTTAATCTATAAATATAATGTTTAAATATGATAATTAAAATATTGCTCACTGTACAGTTTTATTTCTTTTATTCTTGTCACTTGAGATATAAACCTGAACGCAATTTTTATGTCGGCTCAAACACTTCTTATCGATAACAAAGTAGCTTGGTAAATATTTCATCTAGTTGTAACATAAATAAAGTAAAACAAATACTCATAATTCAGGTAATCTTATTGTTTTCGAGGTGGTGGTGGTAGCACACGAATCGGGTTTATTCGCTATGTGAATAGTGTACATAATTTCCTCAAAAATTATATATAATTTTTTTTTTGGGGAATAGTTCTAAGTAAAAGAAATAGTTGAAAATGGTCGAAAAACATGTGGAAGATAAAGAGAAAGGAGAGGAATTATCTCCTCTTAACGAGAAAGTTGAAAAAACAGAAATCAAGAAACTTACTTTTCTACAAAAATTAAAAGTTATCAAAGCCAAAACCACAGTAGAACCAATTATGGCATGTTATATAATGCCAAGTGTGCTTGCATCTTTGGCGACACAAAATTTAAATCTAGAAAAAGCTTGTCATGTTAACCTTAATTTTAGTGATGAAATTTGTTTTGCCTTAAAAAACAGACAAACGGAAAACTACACTATATATGAAGACCAAGTGCAAACATTAATTGCGAGCGTACAGGCTTGGAAAAATATTATCCAAACTGCTATTCCCGTGTTCATAATATTATTTGTTGGTGCATGGAGTGACAAAACTGGTAAAAGAAAAGCCTGTATTTTGATGCCAATTGTGGGTGAATTTATTACGTGCATCGGTTTCATTATCAATACATATTTCTTCTATGAATTGCCAGTCGAGGTTGCTGCATTGACAGAATCAATTTTTCCTGCTATAACAGGGGGTTGGTTCACAAATTTCATAGGAGTCTTCAGTTACATCGGTGATATAACTACAAATGAGGATAGGACTTATAGAGTTGGAATAGTTAATTTATGCATGTCCCTTGGTTATCCGATCGGAAGTGCGTTGAGTGGAGTTTTGTTGACTTGGATAGGTTATTACGGAATCTTCTCTTTATCAGCTAGTCTTTACTTATTTAGCCTGATTTATGGATACTTTTTCCTGGAGGATCCCAAGAAAGACACAGTAAATGAGGTAAAAATATATGTTTATTTAAATAAGTAAAATTATGGGATTGGATATAATGGATACAGATAATAGATTTTTTTAATATAAAACCAATATTTACAGAAACCTTGGGGCTGTTTTAGCTTTATAAGAGAATTTTTCGATGTTGCTCTGGTTATAGAAACTTTTAAAGTGGCATTTAAAAAAGGTCCCGGTAATAGACGACTTCGTGTTTGTCTTCTGCTTCTAGTGGTATTTGTGGTCTTTGGGCCATCGCAAGGTAAGATTGATTTATATTAAAGACATATTCTTGTTATTATATTATCACATATCATTTAAATATTTACAAAAATTAACATTTAGTTATTTTTATATGCGTTTATGTCGAGACTTCTTATATATGCATAAAGATATAAAAGTTTAATATTTCTGTCTTTTACATAATTTAAATAAAGCGAATGTTACTCATCACTTCAAAAATGCGTAACTCTAAAATCCTCAAAAAAAAAGACTGTGAGAAAGAAATGTCACTTGAAAACAAAATTTTAACGTTAGTTAATATAATAGAATGTACGCTATTCATAAACATTTCATGACATACTTTTAAAAAAATAGCTACAAAAACTACGATATAAAATTGTTTACTTATCCCCACCATAAAAACATTTATTTCTTTGTGTGTAAAAGAATATTTATTTATAAATAGAAGCAAATGAATTTATGGAAATAAATCATTATCATGAGAAAATAGTAAATACCTGCATATATACGAAAATTCAAAACGATCATTTTTACACGTTACAAAATAGACCCTAAACTATTCCAAAATAATATGATGTTGGTTATCGTCGTTTTGCAGGTGAATTCAGTATATTATATCTCTTTGCGAGATACAGATTTAATTGGGATGAGGTCCAATTTAGCCTTTGGTCGACGTACAGTATAGTAACCAATTTACTTGGTGAGTAGTTGCATAACTTTTACCGCTATTTTAATGCCAATTAATATCATAAGTTATGAGAATGTAAAGCATATTAGATTTCTATCTGAAAATAATTAGTCATTTGTATTAATAAATAGCGTCTCTATTTTCTTTTATAATCTTTGTACTTTTAAATTTATAACAGTAAATCTATTCTAAGTATGTATATTTTCAATTAAGTCACTTACAACAATTAATATTTTGACATCTTAAAAATCTTGTAAAGCATTAATATTAGAGGAATCTAACGAAATAAGTTTCTGTACATCCTTCAAAGTTCAAAATTCCTTAAAGATTGAATTAATTATCAGAAAATAAATTAAGAAAATAGTCTAGTATGGCAATATACCAGAGTATGTAAGGATAAAAAATGTTAATATAATGAGCAAATAGTATTATTTTAAAATATAATTTGTAGTAAATATATTATATGAATGTGTACGATGTATTCTTTTATTTTTATATGTAATTTTTTCAGGAACGGCATTCTCAATAAGTTTGTTCAGCAATTACATGAAACTTGACGACACTTTGTTAGGCATTATATCTAATATGAGCAAAATAGTAGCAGCTTTCGCTTACGCCTTCGCAAGAACTGACTTTGAAATATACATGGGTATGTAAAAAATATATGTATAACATATAAGAAGAAACAAAATTTCAAACGTCACATTTCTATAAACATACTTTTTCACATCAAATCAAGTTTATTTAAAACTCAGATTACTCAAAGCGAATCGCTTCTGTGATTGCAATCAAAGTTTGTTAAGTAAACTTAATTACGAGAAACTTAGGTTACAATAGTTGCTAACTTCGCGCAAATGAATTACATCCAACTTAGGATTGCTACCAAAATGGAACTTACGAATATTTCCATATAATATACTCATTTACATTCTACTGTAATGACAGCTAGATACGATTTTTGTTAGACATCTGATGTATCTATTATACATATATAGTATATTTCATACTATTAATGCTGTACATAATAGTGAAGGTATGAATTTATTTTTATCTAAGTCGCAATTAACTTATACGATATTGTATTATTATGTTTAAAAAGACATTGACATCAGCATTTACAAGGTTGTTAGAAACTGTTAGATGCACTGTAGTGATAAGTCAATGAATGATAGCAGAACAAATACTCTTACTGATAAATGCACTGAGTAAAATAAAATGTCTCCTTTCAATAATTTATTAATAAAATTAAAAATATTCACCGAAAAAATTTATTGGGTACCGATAGTATAATCACAAGATAAAATTTTTTTGAAGGTTATCATCATAATCTAATTTGTCAGCAGATATCCATTAAAAGTAGGGTAATTCATTATGTTAATCTTTTCACTCAAAAAATATATTTTACGTTTGAAAGTGTGTAATTTAAAAATATATATTACATTATAAAAGTAACCTTATTTGATTAAATAGTAATATTATACTACTTGTTAATATTTATACAGTAGGAAGACTTATCTAAGATTTATTGACCTAAGGAGAAAACCTATTTCATTATCGGTTCAGGGATTAAATGGACTTATGATATTATCAATATAATATTTAATTAATTATTAAAGTGGTCTGCTAATAATTTTCTTTTCAGCTCCGCTTCTTGAAATATTAAATGGCACTTCTTTCATTGCAATGCGCTCTATTGCATCCAAATTAGTGTGTGGCGACGAATTTGGTATGTAAATATCATTGGAATTTTTTGTTATCTTTCTTTTCTTAGTATAAACCAAAAACAAAAATTGTACATTAACAAATAACTGGTGAAATTTGTATCTAAATTAGTTAATTTAAAAAGATAGAATTAAAAAGTGGTTAAATATCTATCAAGTAGTATATGTGTTCATATTACTGACAGAATCTGATGAAAATAATGTCTAACTTCCATATTTAAGTAAATAATTTGTTTCAACTTCAACGTTAATAAGTATTCAACTTTTCAGGTAAAGTAAATTCATTGTTTGGTCTCGCCGAAGCCATGACTCCTCTTCTGTATGGGCCACTATATTCAAGAGTATATGTTTCAACTCTAAATATCCTGCCAGGAGCGGTCTTCCTCCTTGGAGCTTTACTTACTGTTCCCTCCATTATTATATTTGGGTAAGATTTAATATTTATAACAAGCTTTGTAATTTTACTATACTTCATTTTTATCATGCAAACCAATTATTTAAGGTGGCTGTATTTTGAACATCAAAAGGACAAAGTTAGAAATGCCGAAGATCTAAAATGTGTCGAAAGTGAAAAGTGTCCAGCTAGATAAAAAGTATTTTGGAATATTTAAAGGTTTATAATTTTTTACAGGGAGTAAATTAAAAGAATAAATTTTTAGCATCCCATCTTTTTGATGCTCTTACAAATATGTTCTCATTAGAGTTTCAATGTTCGACAAATATATTTTTAAGTTAGTTTCATTCGAATTTTGTAATCACATTCAAATATGCTCAGACCTAGTTTTAAATATACTTTATATCAGGCAATGCTACGTCATGTATTACATAATGAATAATGAAAGAGTGATGTGTAAAAAATTTTTTGAATATGACACATTTGTAAAATAAAAAAAAGTATATTCTTGTTTTTCATTTATTTCTACATGTTATAGGCGAATAAAAAAAATTATTAAAGTTTATAATGACATCTCCTTTTTCACTTATTTTTTTATCTAAAATATAGTAAGCCAATATATCTATATACACACATATGTATACATATTTTAGTCGTTTTAGTTCATTTTTTTTTTGTGTTCAACGGAAATGTGTCAGTTAAAATAAGTTCATCGTATTACTTGATTCTCTTATTATTTTATTTACTAAGAAACGATTTTCTATTTGATTACATTTTGACTGACAGCCCTAGTTCTTGGAGAGCGTCTGTGTTGTTTCCACTTAAGAAATTATCATAAAAACACTAACCAACATAATCAACATTATGGAGAATTTTCTCAATAAGTAAATAAACTTAATTGTTTACTTTATTTTATCTTGTTTGAAATTCTCTTTATTTAATTTATATAACAAAGGCGGGCTTTACGTCAAATTTATCATTTAATCTTCAGTTGATTAGATATTATGTTTCTGTAGAGGATGATATAAAATGGATTGTCACTGTATTTTTATTAATATAAAATAATAAGTGAGATCTACTGGTTTTTGTTACTAAACGAAGACGAAAATGATATATTTGCTATGTACTTACCACTATGTAAAAAGAATATTTTTCCTTTTTTACTATATGATATAAAAATAAAAGAAAACGTTTTATATTTAATCTTGTCTATGTTTTATCAGTATCAATATTAATGCAAAGCCATTGTACTAAATACAAAAAAGTTCTATTATCAGGTCAAATACATGAAAATTTTATCACGGCTAAGTCATACACGCCCAGACACCAGTCGAAGATGCAGTGGAGATGCGCTCATTATCTCCTTCATACTTACTCTCGTTATGTATTTCTTTTTACTAATTTTTGTCCTATTTTATAACATTATATATAAGACATAATACAATAGATTATAAACACTTAAAAGGAACTCAATTTAAAAAACAGACTGAGTGGCATCCGATATTTTGTATCGATAATTTTAATTAGGGATTTTTATAATACTACTAGCTGAACCGGCAAACATTGTTAAAAAGGCAATAAAGGGGTTAATAATAAAAATAAAAATTTTGGGTTGTATGTATTTTAATGTCACATTATAATAAAAAATGGTCCAATAATTTAAAAAAATATTGTTGAACAACCCTTATGACTTAGGGGTATGAAAAATAGATTCTCAGAACTACTCAGTATGTTCACAAAATTTCATAAGAATCGGACAAGCCAAGGGAACGAACATTGTGACACGAATATTTTATGTATAACATTACCTAATTATTGTGTCAAATTAGATCTAAACATGAAACAAACAAGCTAGTATATTATACTTTACATCATAAACTTGTCACAAATATAATTTAATTAGTGTCCGATAAATCTTTAACTTAGTCTATGGTGTACTGATATAAGCTCTATAATATTGAACGTTGATATGTCATCCGCATTACTGCACTATAATTAACCTTAATTAATCTAATACATCAAGTTAATCTAATTTATTATTACAATCGTATAAATCTTGTTTGTAGCCGTGTTAAATTACAAACATGTTAACAATATATGTGTAATATAAAAACGATTTCAAATATTATTTAAAGATTATATACGAGTGACTAAATTACTAGCAAAAAAACTTATTGATTCCGCGTCGTATAGAGTATTTTTACTAAAAATAGTTTAGGGACAATTAACAATAAAAACAACTAAGACTAGAATTCAAATTAAATATTTTAGGTATATTTGACTAATATTTGGGACCTCCTAAAATTTGAAGTCAAACTCAATTGGCTCTGAAACGATCGCAATCCGACGACATTTAAACACCACCCCAATGTCTGAGAGGCAAAGATAAAATATTTCATATCCTTTATTAACTTGAATACCGCACCTTAACAACACACGACACTAAGCTTATATTATTTGGTTGCGTTATTAATTTTCGTGCTTCATCATTATAGCTCCCCTTTTAATTACGTTTAATGAATAAGCGAAAATTACCTTTTGTTTTATTCAAAAAGCCCTTTATGTGCGGCGACTCGCGTCTTAATGAGGTTTTCAAAATTTAAAGGCAGTTTTCAATATAATTAACGATTTCGGTTGAGTGACGCGCGGTTTGGAAGGCGGCTGAGATTAACCAACGCTGAGCTGACACGTCTCACGCCCATAATAACTTGCAATGCTTAAAATATGTTATTTACAAAATCTTAAAAAAGTATATCTTTTATCCAACATATAAGTATTAACACAATTTAACAACATTCTTTCCGTTACTGAATGAAACAGCTTAGAAGAAAACGTTAAATATAATTTTAGAACAAGCCGTGCTTATTACTTTTCTCGACCTCCTATTGTCAAAATAATGAAATACCAAACACTCAAGTTATTTAAAAAGCAATTAAGAGCTGTTATTAAAAGAAATATTTTCGACATTCTTTCCCTTAAACCGTATTTATGAATAACTTTTTTGGAAAATATTTAACTTATAATAAAATAATGTGAAATAAATTAACAATTATGAAAGTTTCAAGATAAAAATGAATTTTAATAATTGGAGTAGGTACATATTAATTTTGAATATTTAATTCTATTTTTAAATTTTATCGTAAATTCCTCCCTTAGAAGAAAGCAATGAGTTTAATATTACATAATAAAAATGTCTCCTCTAACAAGTTACGCACCTTTCTAAAATCTTTTATGAAAAGATAAAAAAAAATCGCTATGTCTAGTATTATTGTATAAGTGTAAAAGTTTACTATCTGCATTGTTCTTTTAATTGCATAATATTTTCTGATACTCGCCACATATTTTATTTTCTCAGACTGAATGCTATGTTTACTGTGTTAGGTAATGAACAAAGATTATTATTTATACAGCTTAACGCCTCGTCACAGAGACATATCTCGCAGCATCCTGAGGTTTATTGTTGGAACTCACAAATCAATTATTTTCAATACACGCGTAGGAATTAATTAACTTACATTCCACATCACAACCGATTGCTGTCGTTCCGATCAAACGGATATAACAGTCACTTCTATAGCATAAAACACATAAATCTTATATATTAAATTCTCGTGACGCGTTGTTAGACAGAGAACTCCTCCGAAAGGGCTGGACCGATTTTGATGAAATTTTGTTAGCATATTGAGTAGGTCTGAGAATCGGCCAACATCTATTTTTTAATACCCTAAGTCATAAGTGTTGTTCACCCTTAATGTTTTTTTAATTCGGATGAAAAATTTGATTTTATTTTTTTATAATGTAGCATTAAAAAATCCATACAAACCCCTCTTTTTATATGGCAAAACAACGTTTGCCGTGTCAGCTAGTATAATATAAAATTTAAATCAAACACTGTGTTAGTAAATAAAGCTATTTTGTGTAGAGAGATTTACAAATGTTTTTAATATTATGAAACAGCGGGCAAGCGTTTGAGAATATTTCCTTATCTGCTAAGTACCTCCGGTGTTCAAGACTCCGTTTCCTTCTACCGTAGTTTTGCCCTGGCTTTCTTACGTTTTGAAATGTAAATAATAAATCTTAACACTATTATGTTTGAAATGATTTTTAAAACTAGCAATTTTATTTATTTTGATACGATACAAACAATGTTAGGATATACACGGTAAAAAATAATTAATAGGCTATTTAAAATAAAGTTATACACAAATAAAATGATGAAAAAGGCAAATGTTTATTTTAAATCTCTGAACTTTTACAGCTTCAATAAATTGCTCAGATGAAATGGCTTAATTTAATAAGATTATGCGCATACATATAACTTAAAATCTTCATGTTTTCTTTTACAAAAGATCCACAACTATTTTGAAAATCGTTAGAACACGCACAAATCATACTTCAATTTGGGTAGTTGTAGTAGAAGGACAAGTACAATTATTCATTTTATCGTTTAAAATTCGACATGTTTCTTAAATTAAGTTACCTATTTAAAATTAATCCTAAAAACATACTAATACAAATAAAAAATACGATAATATAAATGATATGATTACAGATACCTTCAAAATAAAAGATAAAGTTGCAAAACCCTCGAGGCTATTAACATTTATTTAACAGGTCTCGTGGCTAATATATCCATTATAAATTTATATTTCAAATAATAAAGTTGTCCTAATCTCGTCATTTACGGTGAAGAAGAATGGGTCTTCCATTCATAATATAATTTAACTATAATATTTTAAAAAGCTTTTGTAAATAACTTTTCTGTTTACAGAACTTAATCCTATTTGCAACATCATTTTTTAATTCCTGCATTTAATTAAAGCCACACAACAGTTCTTTAAAGGATTTCTTGGTAAATAAAATTTGTTTTAAAATTTTTACATTCACTTCTTATTTAGTATCGTAGTAATACTGAGTAATCCTTTGAATAAATAATTAATGCCTGCAAATAAATTCTGTATGTGGCTGTGGTCGGTCGGTTTCATTGCTATTTTCAATCTACCGTTTTATTAAACATTTCTTATACTTATTTTATTAACATTTTTAAATAATTAATCGTATCCATACTATGTACTATATAAATATTTCATTGGTTTTAAGTTTCGTAGTCGATAATGTTCTTAAAATGAAATTAGGTTGAAAAAATCTTAAATCATAGTCCAGTCCTCTAAAAAAATAAAACATTGTCTTCCTCTT